CCGACAGACCACCAGAGGGGAGAAAAAACGTCGTAGTTTACCCAGTCCCACTGGGTCCGAACCGTGCAATGGAGAACAACTTTGCACCCAGTGGCTCACTCTCGAGCTCTACAAAGGAGCAAATCGCCGAAAGCATGCAGGAGATGTTCTCTCACCTGGACCCAGAAGTTATTGACATCGTGCTGTCCGAGTGTGATTTTAAAGGTAGGAGCGAGAACGAGCAACAATGCGTTCAGCAACCTGGCGTGGAGCAGTGTTTTGGGAATGCTGCTGTGTGCTCAGTAGTTAGCTCTGTGGCTTGTTAGCTGTACGTGTCTGACATTTTTGAAACACATTTTGAAACTCTACAGTCCGGCGTAGTGACTGTCCAGTGTTTGAAATGAACACTGTTTACAGTAAATAAATATCAAGCACCCGAGAAATCACTGCTATTAAACAATCTATTCTTCTCTATTTTTATGCAGTAACAACTTAAGAATTTATTCAGAAAACCATGGACTGTATCACGGACAGCATGGGCTTTTGACTTTGTAGTGATTGTCACGTACTATAATCTTTTCATATTAGTTTTTTTCTATTTTTGAGTTCAATTTATCCATTCAGCTTCTATCACACTATTCTTTTAAGAGCCTTGTTTCCATGATTGGAGAATGATTGTTATCTGAGGCCTTGAGAAGGGCACTGTGAAGAGGACAGATTAGGGTTAAGGGAATATACAGTACATTTATCAGTTTCCTCAAGAGAGAACAATTTTCTTACAGCATAAATTGTTTTTTTAATACCAAAGAATGAGCCTTTTTAAATTAATTTGTGTCTCATAGTATTACTATGTTATTACTTAACTCTTATGTTTTCTAATATATTTAATCACTGGGGCTACAGCGAATGTATATACGGCTATGGTTAATACCATTATTTTAGTCTAGTTGATGAGTTTTGTGGTCCATAAAATAATTTCAAAATTCTCAGTCCATGCTTGCTTTTTGTAGAATGACCAATTAAGAACTGTTCTCTTTTTTTCTTTTTTTTTTTAAGTTGAAATAGCAATGGACTCTCTGCTGCAGCTGTCTGAGGCTGCTGAAGATGCAGCTCCTCTTCCCTCTCCCATGTCTGGCTTTGAGCGTACTGCTGCCGACCTGCTTGGTCCTCCTGAGTTTCCTGATCCAAGACCAAACCAAGATTCATTCAAATCATTGAAACACCCTTTATTTTCTCCTTCCTCTACCAGCCCTTTAACAGAGGAGATGGACATGGCAGTTGAACAGGAGCTGGAGACACTTGAAGCAAAAGCAGATATAAAGGGAGAAGACCACAGAAGCCAGTATTTGTCTATTAGTGAACCCATCTCCTTACCGCCCTCAGCATTTATACAGCAAACTGATGCTGAACCCCCTACGTCTAGTCCGAAATCCGGATCTACAGGGCCCTTGTCTCAGTACTCTTTTTCAGAAGCCGCCTTAGTAGAATCTTCATTGCCAGCCATGCAGCATACCACTGCAGAGAAGCACCAGACTTTGGTAGATTTTACTCACCTTGTGACAGAGGAACCTGCAGAAAAGCCCAAACCTCCTTTGGACCTTGCAGCTTTAGGCCGTCCCTCTGCTTTTCAGGCGTACATAAAACAGGACCCACAACCTGGCATGCCTGGAAGAACAGAAGTTGGGCCTTCTGATACTGTAGTTGGAGGGGCGAGATCTAAAGCAAACACAAATCTAGAGCCTGTTGGTAATGTGTCTTGGAATGTGGAGGCACCAGTCTTTTCTCCTTGTACCACTGGAAACCATGAACCTACCTTTATTACTCCTGTGGCTCAGACATCCCATAATTGGCCACACCATGCTAGACAAGCCTGTCCATGGCAGCTACAGTGTCAAGCACCTCTGAAACCTTCAGCAACTATTCCAAAGTCCTGGGCCCTGCCTCCTGCTTCACAGTATTGTACCCCTAACAGTTATCTGCAATTGGAAGGAAACGTTCTCGTGCTGCTACGTGGTGCTCCAGGATCTGGAAAGTCAACACTAGCAAGGTAAGAATGTTGGCATGTTAGAAATGAGCTTCAAGACAATTCAAATCTTTAACCTATTTACAAAGTACATGTAAATCTCTTTTTGCAGAACATTGTTAGAGCAAAATCCAGGTGGCATTATTTTGAGTACTGACAACTATTTTATTCACAATGGAGAATACCACTATGACCCCACTGTTTTGGGAGAAGCTCACGAATGGAATCATAAAAAAGGTGAATTAAATGTATCTATGTGCCTTGTCAACACACATTTGCGAGTATTGCAGTCAATTTGAATCTTTAATTATTTTAAATAAAAGAACCAGTTGTTTTTTTAACACAGCAAATATATGTCTCTCTCTGTCTTCATGTGGACATTATTCCATAGCCAAGAAGGCTTTCCACAGAGGCATTAGTCCCATCATCATTGATAACACTAACATGCAGGGATGGGAGATGAAACCTTATGTGGCTCAGGTAAGTTTGTATGACCTTGTTAATAGTTTAGAAAAATGACGTATACAAAAGTCCTCCTCTTATCTTGCAATACAAGTCGTTCAAGTCGAACAATTTCACGTCATCTGCAAAATGATAACCTTGACTCACCCTTTGTGGCCACTTTGATGCATTTTCACATAATTTTACTTCCTGTTGCTGCGGCCATGCTGAAACACAAGCATTCAGTCTTTGGTTTTGCACACAGTTTGTTGACTATAATTTAATTTGGGGTGTTTCAAATAACAAACAATGTTTGATGATTATCCCCCAGGCACTAAAACATGGATATAAAGTTTTGTTTAAAGAGCCGCAAACGTGGTGGAGAAACAAGCCCAAAGAACTGGAGAGGTGAGAATACAAGTAGATGAAGTACTCGTCAAGTTCTTGATCTGAAATACTTCAACGGTTTTGTTTCTTTTGTTTCTTTTTGTTCTGTGTGTGCAGACGCTCCACACACGGGGTGCATGTGGAAAAAATCCGACGCATGCTCAACGGGTACGAGCGCTCTGTCACAGTCCAGTCCATCATGGGTTCATGTGTGCCTGAGCACAAACAGTACCACATTCTGGAGAACACAAGCTCACAGTGAGTTTTGCCCCCGTGTCAAATAAAATTGAGTTCTTGTCTGAAGAAATAGTATTTTTTGTAACAAAGTTATTCATCGTTTTTAATCATTCTTCTCTTCATTTTAGGCTGACGTCCTCTGAAGTACCTTGTCCTGATCTGGTGGGAAAACCAAGGCTAATTGAGGGAACTAATGTGTCACGCTCCCATCTGTTTTCCTCTCTGCCAGATGTCTCATCTATCAGTCAGTCTCATGAGTTGGACGATGGCTCCTATAGATCCACAGAATCAGTACATTTTCAGCCCACTGAACAATCTGCAGAAAACGCAGACGTATCTGCTATGGATGACTTAAATTTGGAGCATTTGGATAGTGAGTTGGACGCCCGGTTACAGCTAAATAATTTAGTAGGAGCTCAACAAATCCCGGACTGTATCGTGGAGTCTGTGATGAATGAAGAGTCCCCGGAGAACGAACTGCCTGTTGCTTTTTCTGAATCTATTGCACAGCGGGTGAAGAGAGAGAGTCGAATGAAGAGATTTGATCATGAAAAGATGGAGGCTGCAGATCTGGTGAAGGACACTAACCAGTCAGAGAGTGAGGAGACAGAAAAAAAGGAAGCAAGTGACCTTGAGTTTGTTTGGGTTATGGAAGAAGCTAAAATGTTGGAGTTTGTAGGTGACTGGCCTACAGAAGGATCTCTAAACCAGCGACAAACAAGAAGAGGAAGACATAAAGAAAGAAATTTTACAGAAGACAAATCTGTGTCTCAGGAAGTAAATACATCGGAACCTGATAAAACAGAGTGTCCAGAAGAGCTCGATCTGGATCAGACCAACTCTTCTCTGATTTCCTCGAGGAATGAAGAGAATTTACCAAAAGAAGTGTCAGGAGAGGATGGTGGGAGGATTGACGGCTCCTATGGCAATGAAGACATTGGACGAGACATGGACGAGCAAGATGGCAGGGACATCTACAGCATGGGAGAATTACCTGACTGTGTGTTAGACTGGAAGGCTGCTGACTACTGCAGGGCTAGAAAATCAAAATTCAAAATTGGAGCAGAGGACACTGATAGAAATAACGGGAACGTCAGAGATACCGTTAGTTCTGATTTTGCCCCATCTGTCACTGCTGAGTCACTATTTGTCTCCAGTAATGCCGAGTTAAACAGGCACCATGACGCAGAGAGCCACAACAGTGAAGGTGTGGTTGATAGAAAAGTTGATGATGTGCCAACTGATCCCTGCACTATGGATTGCAGGGAGACTGTAGCTGAGGCTGACAGCAGTCTTCTCAGTGAGGCCTCTCAGAGTCCAGTGAGTGAGGGCTCAGCGGAGGGACAAAGAGGTTCCCTCAGTGCAAACAGTCAGGATAAAAAGCTGCGTCAGGGCCGTCGATCAGGGAAACAGTGCAAACTCGCCCTCACCTTCACTCAAAACTATCCTGATGCCCAAACAAATACCAACGAATCCCCCAGAACCCCGAGTGACAACACAGAGAGCCATCCAAACAGCCCAGACACCGATGACCAACACATCAGAAATGTCTGCTCTAACTCCAACCTTGACCCTAAGCCCGACCTGTCCACTGAGTCCAAGTCAGAAACTGAAGTGCAGTCATCTTCTTCTTCTTTTCCTCCTCCTCCTCCTCTTCAGGCAGAGTCAGGCTGCTTCATTCAAACAGAGCCTCAAGACTTCGCTCTCCTATGGCGTCTGAATCGCCAGGACCTCCGCAATAATAACACTTCCACTGCTGCTTCCAGTAACTCCGGTGGCTTCACTGTTCTGTGTGGCGACTCCAGTCGATTCGTGCCAGCGCTCTCCTCCGTGGCTTTCGCAGCAGTTGCAGTTAACCCCTTGGGCCACAGCGATGTACTTTATCGAGTGGTCCATGAGAAAGGCACACAAGTCGAGGAGAGAGATTTGGGAGGAACCCATGACCGCCTCGAGAGCTTGTGTATCCTCTGCCGTCACTTTAAACTAGTAAATTATGATACATTAGAGGATTTGTATGACAAATGCCATCAGGACCTAGAGTGGACCACCAACCTGCTGCTGGACTCTGGAGAGCGGGTCTTTAAAGAGGAAGACGACACAGAGGTGGAGAAACAGGAGCTGGAAAGTGGTGTTCTTCAGGATAAACATGACCAGAACACACCCTCTCCATGTCGAGCTCCAGGAGGAGCAGAAACCAGCTATCATCCTGAGGTGAGCTGTCTGGAGACAACTGGATCTGAGCAGGTGACTGAGCTATCATCTGATGCAACACGTGATAAGTCCAAACTAGACTGTGTGGATTTGACATGTGTTGAAGGTGCTGCTGCTTCATTTAAAAGTGAGAATACTACCAGGTCGTCACTGTGGCCTGGAGATCTGCAAATAAAAATGACAGAAGGAGAGACCACTGGACACAGAGAAATAGCAGAACCTTGTTCAGAAGCTGGGGCCTCAGGTGGAAATGTTGTGATAAATGAGGACTCTGTGGCTAAAGATGATGCTGCTAGCATGGATGAGATCCACCGACTGTCGCGGGCAGAACTGGAGGAGCTTAATGAACAGGAAGAGAGGACCGAGAGGAGGCAGGTGGAGGAAAGAAGGAGCATGCATCTGGACATTCAGAGTGTGGAGCTCAAACTACCCACTGAACTGGCCATACAGCTTATTGAACTGTTCGGCCCTGTGGGATTGGACCCAGGTACGGCATCACACTGAGAACAGAAGGGGGTGATGCTGAGTTGTGTAGGTCAAGGACACTTAGTGGGATATAGAGAAAAAAGTTTAAAATAACATATTGATTATGGCGTTTCAGAATCAGAAATATACTTTTAATCGTGTAAATCATGTAATACTCAACTTTACCACCAGATGCCTCTACATCCTCTTTTTTTGTTTCTACCCTCTATTTTTAAATGTAATTTTTTTACATTATGACGTACAGACCAATCATCATTCAGTTGCTGTACCAACTGCAGTAATATCAATCTCTCTGTTACTCTTCTGATTGAAGGTACATGTGACACTGAAGACTATAAGGTCAATATGGACCTGCACCTGGCCAAGCTGCTCCACCAGAAGTGGAAGGAGACAATCCAGGTGAGGTATCAAACATCTGGGAAAGACATTATTGAAGGCAGATTAGTTTGAACGTCTTTGACTCACTGTTTTTGTGAATTGTGTTTCACAGGAAACGCAGCGACAGACGGCACTTTTGTTCCATTTGTTTGGAGAGAGTACGTTTTCACACTTGACATGAACTTATATGACTGTGGGCAATAACCTGGAGTGGCATTAGACGTTCACACACTTACTCACACCTACAATAGAATGTTCCTCTGAAAACACTTGCCTGTATTGCCCTGTTATAAACCAACAGGTAAAATGAAATATATGTAGGTAAATATATATTAAAATATATTTGATCAGATGTCAGCTTCTCAGGTGAATTTCTGGAAAGTTAATGTTGTTCACAAGAACAAACATTGCTCACAATTCTCCTCGTAGGTGACGATGGTTACATGACACCAGGCAGTCAACCAGAGGCCCGTGGCCGTCTGCCGTTCATGGACCACTGGAATGCGTCCCGCCCACATGTCTCCCTGACAGATATAATAAAAGAGGAACTGGCCTTGCAGAAGAATGTTGAGAAGGTAACATTTTTGTCTCGATCTGCAGTTATTGGTACAGTATTTCCAGTCGCACTATTGCCATTTTACTATTTACCAATTTCTACCATGTTGGTTTCAGACCAGGCAAAGTCGTGTAGACCTTGATCAGAGAAACGGCGCAACTCTGCTGAAAGAGGACAAACTCTTCTCAATCTTTCCAAACATAGACAGACATTTCCTTCAGGACATTTTCAGAGATCACAAGTGAGTAGCAGATGATAACAGATTATTACATCATCTGCTGTTAACACTAGAATCTCCCAAATATGGGATCGATAAAGTTCAAATTATTTTTTAATTGTTATTATTATTTCGTACCTGCGTGTCCTTGCTGGTACAGTTACAGCCTGGCCCAGACGGAGCTGTTTCTCCGTTCTCTACTAGATGAAGAACCCGCCAAGAACGTTGTTGCCCCAGAGGCCCCTCAGTGTGATCATCACAGAGCAGCAAGCAAAGAAAGGGAAAAGGTATTTCAGCACAGGGAGTGTTGGGTGGCCTGCCCTTGGTGTGCTACAGTGAGGAAAGAAAATGCTTATTTGTCTGCCCTCTAATTCAACTCAAACAGAAAGCTCCAGAGTCGATCACACCGGACTTTCAGGACGTGGAGTACCCAGAGTACGACGACTTCAGGGCTGAAGCCAATTTGCAGAGGAGGAGACAGTTGGAGAGTTTTGCCAAAGCTGCTGAGGCCTCACAGCAGGGACGCAAACAAGTGGCCTCGTTTTACGCACAACAGGCAAGTGGTTTAAAGTCACTGAGGCTTCAGGCAACATAATGTCCGTGTCTGTCTTAATAAAGAAATAAGTTGGACTCAACTTTTTATTCTACAGGGACATTTGCATGGACAGCGGATGCGTGAAGCTAATCACCGTGCAGCAGTCCAGATCTTTGAGCGTGTCAACTCCTCACTGCTGCCCAGAAACATCCTGGACCTCCATGGACTCCATGTAGACGAGGCCCTGCATCACCTGGACCAAGTCCTAGAGGACAAAGCATCAGGTATTTGTCACAGTACTGCAAAAACCCGGTGTAGCCTCTTTAACCGTCACACCTCCAAATGTTATTCAAAGATGTACAGAGTTAATGCAAACAAAGCCAAGTCAACCACGTCCGCCCATGATGACGATGTTAACATTGAATATTTAAATTTGTATGAAGACTAAAATGTCAACATTCTTTTTCAGAGGACTTGTATCAACAACAAATATCCAGCATTGTACAAATGTATTAGGCAGGTACACACATTCACTATTCTCCTATAACCTTTCTTTTTCAAATATTTAAATCAAATGAAAAGAAGGAGAATTGCTTACTCTTGACAACATCAAATATTTTCCAGTGATCTAAAATAAAATACAAACCTCTCACTTAGACAAATTAGACATTGTTTCAGTTTATGTGAAGACAACTGTTTACAGAAGTCTAAAGACAAATGTCGGCTGTGTGGACAACAAAATATACATGGCACAAACACAATGACAACAGTCCATCCATGCAGGACATTCACCTGAATCACACACACGGGGCACAGGTTGACAGCCACACCACCCTGTGTATTAACTCACTCCATCACTTCTCTCCATGTAGATTGTGAGAAAGGTCTGTGTCGACCTGAGCTGTCTGTTATCACAGGAAAGGGGAACCACAGCCAGGGGGGCGTGGCCCGCATCCGCCCTGCTGTGATAGTCTACCTTACTAACAAACAATACAGGTAAAACACGCACGCACACACACAAACACAGACACACTCACATATACTTTCTCATACATCTTTCTCCTTTCATCTCCCAGGTTCACTGAGCCAAAGCCAGGCCTTTTGTTGGTCTCTTTGAAGTGAAAAGAAATTGCTTCACTGGAATCAGACTCAACCTGCTGTGGAGAACATCCTGCTTTTCACCGTCATTCTTGCGTTTCTGTCTCTCATTCACATGAACAGATGAACGCATGATAATGGAGCCGACGGGGGATATAACGTTGATGAAGGTTAAAGTGAAATTTAATTAAGCTTTTTTTAAATACGGATATTTATTGTAATTGTTTTTTGTAAGAGTGCTACATTTGCGTGGAACAAGAATAATGTATCTTAATTTATCTGTACAGCTAGAAAAACATTTTTATAATGAAAATATTTGGTACAAACTCCAACCTTTATCAGTGACCACTGCAAAACTTGGAAGTATTAAGTTAGACCAGTGGGGTTTTTTTCAGCAGCATTTCCACCTGTTTCTGAGAAAATTCCTCATTGTAATTATTGTGGTTTTGATTGACAGCTAGTCCCACCTTAAAATCCAGCTTTTTTGGGTTACATATGAGATGCTAATCAATGTGGCACCAGTACGTCTTGTGATAGAAATGCACAAACACACCTTCAAAAAGAAAACTCAGAACACGTCCATCTTTTAAATGCAAATTAACTTAACTAGATTTTATGCCATTGAAAAATAACACTGCCTGTAAAAATCAATAATTGTTTACTTGGTGCTCAAAATTTAAAAAAAAATTAAGCAAAATATTTCTTACTACATAGATTTATAAACAACAAAGATAATTTGATTTTCATTTCCCTTTTGGTGAAAAACGAGTCTTAAACGTACACTGTTGGTATTGCCGCAGTGTCTCAGCTCCATGTCATGATAGAATGAACTGATATTCAACTGATAATCTCATGTCATAACTTTCTTACTCTAAAACTAATCGAAGAGAATCAGCCTGTTAATGGTAGCCAGCATTTGTAGCATGGTTTCAAATTTTTTAAAAATTAAAGAAATGTTGTGAGAAAAAAATCTATTTTCTATGAGATGAGATAACAGCTACTGTATGTTCGCAGATTTTATTGGTTGTACAAAATTTTGTGAATCGTGACTTGTACAAATGAGATTGTATTTTTTAATTATTTGTTTTATTGGTTTATTATTTACAGAGAATATTGTACATTTGAATAAAACCATTTGTTTGCAGTTAAGTCTGTTGTTTTTTTGCCTTTTTAAAGAAAACTTCTCATCAACTTTAAGAACAAACAGTTGTTTTAAAGATATGTATTCGTTTATTAATTAATTAATTTTTATTAATTAATATAAAAGTCTGAATCATCTAGGCCCACACTACAGCTGTCAAACTGCTAAACTCTGAACTTTATATGGACGATACCACGGTCTACCAAGCTTAGAAGTTTGTTGTAGAAGTTTCATATTTTTTATATATTTTTTTTATCCCATTTGATTCTAAATCTTGTAAGTACTAAAACAATTTGGTTGTTATGCTAGCTTATTTTACCGCACCACCCTCTGAAGAGACGTAAAATCAATCATCGGCTGCGCAGTAAAAGTCATCATCACCTTCCTCATCATCATTTTACTGCGCATAAATATGGTGTCACTCCTTCGCGGAAATTCAGTTCTCGCGGCAGGCCTCGGAACCAATCTACCGCGATAATCGAGGGACCACTGGATCTCCCTATCTGTGAACCCAAGACTGTTGTTTCTCACCTCGTCTAAAACACATCACCTACACATACACCTTTAACCTCGTTATCTTGTGACTAAATACTCACAAAAATACTTTATTCTGATAAACTTGTGACTATTTTCTATTAAATCCTCAATATGGCTCTAATACTGTCGTAAAATAACACATCAACTGCAGTGGTAGCAAAGTTAACTTTTTTGTTCCGACCCCTAACTAATCTCTCAAGACATTCTGGACCCCCACGTGCAAACAGTCGCGGTTTTCACAGTGACTTTCAGCACCGTGATATCAGCAGCAGCGCAGCGCTGAGCTGACTGACGTCTGTCGTGTCAAAACGCAGCTGCCTCCGCAGTGAACAAAGCAGTGAGAGGTGGGGAGTTCGAGTTGCACCTCCTCACAACACAGCGGATGTCACCGACTTTTCCTCTCTTTGCCCTCGTCTGTCTTTTTGAACCCAGCGATGTAATCGCCTTTTTTTGGACTAATCGATCAACGAGTGACGATAGATGTGAAACGTTTAACTGTGAAATAATAGATTCGACTGTTTTTTTCAGACTTACTGAAGAGTTCAATCAAGACGGTGATAGTGGTTTTTGACACCGTAACATCTTATAAGGGCGGCATCCGACATCCGGTGAAGACGAAAATTTGATCAGTAAGAGGTATTTATATTCGTAACCCGCAACATTACTTTGTCTGCACATATCAGCGTTTTTATAAACATATTTAATCATTTAAACGATACATTTGACAGTTCGATACATATACAATACCTGTAGATATGTTTAATTATTTTGTAATTTCAACGTACACGAAACTACAAATGTAGGAAGCAGGCTGCTTCTTTAGAAAATCTACTTTCAAATACATATTTAAAAACATTTGACAGAAAGAAAATATTTGACTAAAATTCAATCACAAAATCTCCAGTAAAAATAATAAACTTTACAATGATGTGATAACTAAACAAATACTACTACTACAACTACTAATAATATCAACAAACAACAAAACACCCTGTAGTTTGGTAATTTTACTTAAACTATATTCAACAGGTGTGGGTTGTAAACCCACAAACCAGTTTTTTTAAAGTAAAAATTCAGGAGATAATTGTTTGTCACTTTAAAAGGAAATGTTTTTCCAAATAAATATTTGACAAATACTGCCGTGTGTGTGCGTAAGGGGCCTCAGCAGTACTGCATTATGAACTAAAGTCATAGACAGACACAGGAGTGTTCTGGACTTATCTGAGGTTGACCATTTAGACTGACCTTTGATCATCCTTTCAAAAGGGTGTCTGACTTTAAAGACAAAATCTGCTGAGACAAGACTCCCAGGTCTCTCAGAACTTTATCAACTGTGGAGCTGTGTTAAAAATGAACTATTTTATTTAATTTTATATTTAATTTTCTTTTCCAAATTTAAATAGAAACCTGTTGAAATGATTCAAGCTCCACCCACTTTTTTTAGTTCCCATAACTGATGAAACAAAAAAACTGAATTTGAGATGTGGAAAAGAAGCAGGTTGTGACGTGATACAAAATACACACCCCTGAATTCTACAAAGAGAAAAGTCTCTGATGGAAACAATACTTGGTTTCTATCCATTTATCGATTGTTACTGGAATTTATAAATTCCACACATCACAAACTTAAAATACAGTTTGTTTGTGCGCTTGACTTCATGCAGGCCAGTTTTTTACTGTTGATAACATCTGCTGCAAAATCAGAAAACTGTGGACTGTTGATCACATTTTTGTACTTAAAAGAATCTTTATCGAGTAAATTAACATTCACAAAAGTCTCTTATACGGACTTTGTTGGACTGTTCTGCGTGTATCTAAATGTGAAAGGAAAATGAAATTAAAGGTAAAAGCAAGCAAAAGTAGGTAACGGTTAGTAACTTGCCATTTTTAGCCAACATGGCCTGATAATAAGAACAGAGATGTATGAAAGATCATGTAATTATCGGAAGAATAAGTACTCATTTTTTACTTTTTACCCTGGTTGTTGGCCATAAAATTAGTTCTAATGTGAATTTTGAAAATAATACGTCTGTAGCGACATCATCAAATCAAAGAATGTAAAGCAACAAGTGTGAAATATGGGGCAAAGCAAATGCCATTAGGCAAGAAATTTACCCCAGCAAATCTCCAACAGAAGCAAACAAACAATATAAACCAAAAAAGGACTTAAAAATAAATTAAAAATATGAATCAAAAGAGTCCGACAATAGGTAGAATTCCCCTCAAATACCCAAATATTGGATAAAACATGTTAGCTAATGATATTAGTCCAGGAGTGTAAAAATCAGTATAATGTTGTAATAAAATTAAATAAAAAGTAAATGAAATGATCAACAATACTTTATGGATAATTTTTCGAAATAAAAAGTAAATGAAATCAACAATACTTTATGGATAATTTTTCTTATCGTTACCAACTACAGAATCACACTGACCTGCTCTATATACACACCCATTTCTTTTGCATAAAAATATTCTGATTTATAAAATTAATTAACATGAAAAATGCATATATTTTGACAGCCCTAATATATACATATACATATATATTTGTACATATATGTACTATTCATTATAAGTGACTGCCTTTTTAAATGTAGGGTTGTCAAAGAAAATGAACAAAAACTTCACTCGTATCTATCCTATAATCTTTTTTTAAGCAGCTTTAATGTGATTTTTATTTGACTGAATTTCGTGTCCTCATCTGTCTCCTCCAATAGATTCACGGCATGAAATGTAAGCAATGGTCCCTGGCTGGGGGAAATGACTGTGTCTCAGATCATCAGAGAGAGAAACCTGTACATGACAACCAACAGCACAGCCAATCTGAGAGAGCCCAAAGAGCCATGAGGTTACGTGAAGCTCAGGGTGGCTGCTGGAGAATTGCACATTTTCAGTGTGTATGTTTGTCATTGAAGAGGTTTTAAGACGGCGGCGTCCTGATGCAGATCAACGAGCTGGTTTAGAAGGTTATCACCACATGCAACAGCTGCAAATCAACTGCTGTAAAGACATTAGCTTTACACGGAAGCAGAGTCACTGGTGTTTTTGACTTCTCTGTGAACCAAGTGTCGCTCCGGAGACTTTAACCAAAGACGCGCATTTCTAGAGAAAACCAGTCAAGATGAACGGCCTTGATGAAATGTCAGTAAAGTGTGTACTGGTCGGAGATAGCGCGGTTGGAAAGACGGCGCTGTTGGTCCGTTTTACCTCAGAGACTTTCCCAGACACTTATAAGCCCACAGTGTTTGACAACACAGGGGTGGAGGTCTACATGGACGGGGTCCAGATCAGCCTGGGGTTGTGGGATACGGCAGGTAATGACAACTTAAGACAAGTTCGGCCAAGGTCCTACCAGCAGGCTGACGTCGTCCTCATCTGCTACTCGGTGGCTAATCCCAATTCTCTGGCCAGTGTCCAACACAAGTGGATCGCTGAGGTTCGAGAGAACTTGCCCAAAGTGCCGGTCCTGGTTGTTGCCACTCAGACAGACCTGCGTGAGATCGGGGCATATCGTGGCAGCTGCATCTCAGCAGCCGAGGGAAGACGAGTGGCTCAAGAAGTCCACGCCAAAGGTTATCTGGAGTGCTCCTCCCTGAACAACAGAGGCGTCCAGCAAGTGTTCGAGTGTGCGGTGCGGACGGCTGTGAACCAGTACAAAAAGCAAGCCAGAAGGCGCATGTTCAGTATAAACCAATGCAAAGTCTTCTGACCTTTGACCTGGACTTTTCCCTGTCTAAGTCGTATGAGGACTTGCTCTTGGCTGAGTGTAGGTGATTTGATTCGGACAAAAATAAATCAGTTTAAATACGTTTTTTGTGATAAATTTGTTACTTTTTATCAACGTGTAAAACAAAAAAGTTTTTGTTATAATAAGACAACAGGAAGTGTAATGAGTAGCGAGTCTGGTGAGTCTGGTCGCTGAGGTAAGGATAATAATACATTTAGTGTGAATTACTATATTAGAAGTTTTTTGTAAGACCATTCATTAAACTAGAGTTTAACGTCTGAGTGTTTTGACCTCCTGGTCGGACTCAATGATTAAACAGAATAACATTCACAATCTGTGTTAGATCATTCAAATGACTCGTATTAGTGTTTGATCAATGCATTAATACATCAATATCTAATGAACATTAATGTTAATCACCTAAGAGTTAAAGTTTTAATCCATGATAAAAACAAGTGTCCGGCTCCATTTCAGAGTCTGAAGTCGTATTAGACGCGACACTCTCGGTATCTTTGTGTTTTTTTTTTAAATAGATCATTAGGAGAGCGTACAATCTTAACACGAAACAGTAGTAAAAATGTGTGAGGAATCATAAACGCCCTTGTTTTTTATAGTATAGAGACACGCAACAATAAAACATGAAATTCATTACTTGAAATTAAAGTGATTTTATGTACAGACTATAGTATTTTATTTATTCAGACTCTACATGTTTAATGAAATTCCAATTAAAACTAAATTGGGATAAAACGTTTACAAAAATTTAAATGCGTGTTGTTACTTTTTGCCCCTTTTTCACTATGAACTGTTTATTGTTAAATTGCAATGTGAACGTTTTTATTTTCAATAAACTTTTTAAGAAAATTGAGAGAAGGTGAGGTTTTAAAGGGAAAAATATTTTGAAAGTACAAATGTAGTGATGACATAATTATTTGACAACAACTTTAAACTACACGGATTAGAATTGCTACATTTTTTTTAAATTCTGTGAGTGAGAGATAATCAATAATATCAATAACAGAAAATAATTACATTTAAAAAAAGCACATTCACAAGAAGTCGTGTTTTGTAATGAAAATCAATGATTAAAATGCAAAATCTGTTTTGAGATACTTCTGTCTCTCAGTGTTGGTACGGTTAAAACAAAGGACAAACATAGGAGATTTTCGAGCTCATCTAGCAAAGTTACTTTCTATCTGAGGTCAACTAAAGCAGACCTTGAATGTCATACATTATAATGACTATTCTTTTCGGTGCCTATATATATTTATTAGTCATCCATGTACCTGACATGTAGGTCAATGTTAAAACTGTCAGAGATCAGTTCCAGTCAACTGTAATAACTGAGAAAAACTGAGAACAACAAACATCTTGGGGTAAATACTCGCCCTCCCCCCTCCCGCTTCCCTCACTCCCAAACAACACACACTCTCCCGCTCTTTCTCTACACATCTATCTAATGTGGCATTCAGCTCAGCTGAGGATGAGAGGCTCAGAAGAAACGTTTCAAGGATACGCTGAAAAACACCAGACCACATCCCAACGCGTGAACCCATACAATATATGAACAATACACAGTTACACCCCCCCCCCCACACAGACACAGAGAAGCTTGCACGTATATGTTACTTAATCCTTCTCAGTTACAAGACACACACACACGCCTAAAGCAGTTTGTATTTCTTGAGGTTGTGTTACAGAAAAACAATAATTACGAGCCAAAATCTTCACTTCACCTGACTGCAGTGATCAGGGCCAACACTCCTGTTGTGTGGAGTATTTTTAGTAATCCTCAATGGCTGCTTTCTTTGACTTAATGTTTAAGGTGACAAAAAAGTTTAGTAATTCTCACGCATGTAAATTCACTTGTTTCTTTTTTCTGTTCAAAGATTATTTATAACTTTAAACTAGCAGTATGTTCTTTTAACTTTAGGCAGAGGCAACACAACACTTCAGTACACAACACTACTATGTACACTCTGTGGTCACATCTGTCATCTGTCATCTCTCTCTCCCACACCTACCACAATGCCTTATCCCTGTTCTCTCAGTCTCTCGCTCGCTCTCTCTCTCTCTCTCTCTCTCTCTCTACCTCTCAGACTCGTCTCATGTATTGTCGTTCTTCAACAGTTGAAGAAGACAAGATGTTTAATCAAATTTGAAGTGAAAACATTCCATTTTTTAATTTAGTTTAATCTAAGAACATATTTTTGTTGAGACTTGAATATACAACAGTACAGTGTCATAATCCAGTCAAATTAATTCAGGTAGCACAGCCAAAGTAAGAAACTCAGATAGAAGATGTGTAAAAAATGTAAATAATGACAGAAGAGAGAAGAGACAGGGCCAATAAAACAAACATTATAGAGTTCTGCCTACAGTGACCCAAATGTTGCATACATCCAACTGTGACAGGCCCCGACTGTAACCATCATGCACTGAGAAATATTTTTTAAATGGTAGATAATTCTGTTTGAAATGTCCCAAATACTTGGTTATTAACATAAGACCCTACATGAGAGCTACTTGTATGATTATCCTGTTCTTTATTTGCCTCTGTTCAAACATTTTTCAAACGTGTGCGGCTTTGTTTCTTTCTTCAAAGAGAATTCAGTTGTCACTGAAAAGCTAAAATATCTGTGCCAGTTGAATGATGTGAGTAATTTAACCTTTTGACAATAACGGTGATGAAACCTTGAAGGACTTTAGTCTTACACCAGATGTTTCTGGTCACAGTGGGACGATGAGGCTTAGATTCTGGACCTTCTACATTCTGGTGCTACAATTTCGACCAAAGAAAAAACAAACAAACAAAAAAAGTCCATAGAGTCTATTTGGACTGCAAAAATGTCAATGTTTGCTTAAAAAAAGGACATTTTTCTGTTTTTAAGAGAAAGATATTCACATAACACATGCTCAACCACACACACACACACACACACGCACGCACACACACACACACACACACACAGGAAACACCTGTCTTATGTGAGCTCAATACCACAGAAAATGTGATACATTAGCACATCACGTCTCTGCCTCTTATACTCTACACTGTCAGCCCTAGTGCCTGTAAAATTACTTATATATTATATTTGTCATCAAATCATCAAAATAATCCAAATAAATATAATATAATAAAACATTTAATTAATACTTAATTAGTATTTTTCAGAATACCCAAGGACTATTTGTGTTACGCACTGTAAAGCACTGTACAATAAAATTGTAATTGAACCCAAATTTTGGTGTTCATCTATCCACAGTTCATTTAGTTCTACAGTTGCTTCACTGAAACAGAGTTCTTAAAAATAACCTATTTGAAATCTATTTGTGAGAATACCACAGTACAAACCTACAAATAATTCCATCAATTTTTTAAATGAAGAATAAATTAAATAAAAAATATATTTAACTTAATTAATGAATCTTTATCATCGTTTTACATATTTATAATGATTTGATTTCACGTGGCCTCTCTTAGTAAAAGTAAAGCTTAAGAATAACAGACGACTCCCATGAAATCGATCACCTGTACAGATGTGGTGAGGAGACACTCATCCATCCACGACCCTTATCTTTGATACCCAATGTTTTAACATTGTCAGTGTGGTTTATTAATACAAGAGCAGTTTGTCTTAATTTAATCTCACTTGAACAAGGTAAAAAAAATCAGATGAAAATCACAAGGAAAAATATAAACTTCTTGTCACTGATCTGAACTACACCTGCAGCCTTCTGGTCATGTTGTCTGAAATATGTGTGTTGACCACAGAAATCTGATCCTGGGTCTGTGTAACGGCTGTTGTCATGTGACACCTTTGACATGTGTGTATGGGTTAGAACATGGGTAAAATAGTGACTACGTGTGTGATGGACATGGGCAGTGAAATGCAGTGTGTGTGTGTATGTGTGTGTGTGTGTGTGTGTTCTACATGTTGATGTGGTCAAGAACACAAGTGGGTAGAACTACAGGCATCCCATTTCACCCTGTGCCGGTGTGCTATTTGATACTACGGTGTGCCTTTGTGTGTGTGTGAGTATGTGTGTATGGGAATGATAGCCCCAGGTCCTGTTCCAGGGCGATGATCACACACAGACAAACTCTGACAGAGACGAACAGCGACTAACAACCAGTGAAGCACTCACAGCTTCTGACAGGATGTAAGATATCGAGAATTTTCTGTGGTCTCGCCTCGCTCAGCCTAACATGACGAGAATGGAGATTAGAATAGAGTGACATTGGACTTGAACCTCCGCTCTTTCAGTGAGTGCTTTGCTAAATAATTGATCTTTCAGCCTGTGCCTGGTTGAAAATGAGGAAAGCTGCGCTGATGGTTTGGATCAGTCTTCTGGTGCAAGGTCAGTACTGCATGATGGACTTGTTGTTGTTTCTTCTTCTCTTACTGTGCTGCACACTATGCATGTTCTGCTCTCTACTCCCAGTGTCCCACGGTGCCCAGGGTTATTATGCTCGCAAACTTCTAAACGACCTGATGGAGAACTACTCCAATGCACTAAGACCTGTGGAGGACACAGATGCAGCACTGAACGTCTCACTGCAAATAACACTGTCCCAGATCAAAGATATGGTAAATAATCAATCAGTCAATCAATCAAGCTATCCATCCATCTATCTACGGTATCTATCTATCCATCTATATGTCCATCCATCCATTCATCCATCCACCCCTACTGAGGACTACTTTGATCATATGTGGCTCCACTCTGCCCTTTTTCTCTGTTTCTTTGTCTGCAGGATGAGAGGAACCAAGTTCTGACCACATACTTGTGGATCAGGCAGGTCTGGTATGACTACAACCTGAAGTGGGAAAAAGAAGACTATGATGACCTGGAGATGATTAACATCCCCAGTGACCTGGTTTGGAAGCCAGACATTGTCCTTTACAACAAGTTAGTAACATAAATCAGACTTTAAAAGTAAACAGTATAGATATATAAGCCATTCTATTGACTTGATGTCTGCAGAGCAGACGAGGAGTCATCGGGTTCATCCAGCACTAACGTAAAGCTGCGTTACAATGGTGAGATCATATGGGACTCTCCAGCCATCACAAAGAGCACATGTGTTGTGGACGTCTCCTACTTCCCCTTTGACTGGCAGCAGTGTAACCTAACCTTTGGCTCCTGGACCTATAACGGAAACCAGGTTTGTATAATTATGGAGAATATTCTGATAATAGGAATTCAAACCTTTCATGAGGAACGCCCTACAGCTGGTCTTCAGAACAAAACTCTATTATCAGTTCAATACTTTAATTCCAAGTAAGATAATGTGATGTCAATTCCTATGTCAAATACACTTGGGGAAACTAAGCACAAGTAAATGTTCCATGAAACTTTGTGTAAAGATGTGGCTTTAAAGAGTTGAACAGCCCAAACATGATGATGTCAACCTTGATAAACCACTGGAATCAGGCAAGTTAAAATTGTATTCAATTGTATTGAAAAACAGAACAAATCTTACAGTAAGTCTTGCTCCTGTCTTTGTGCCTGATGTTAAAATCCCTCCTAACTGCTGACACTGCCGACCTACTTAGATGAACTATCGCAAGTGGAAATGAGACACTGCACTTCAGTAGAAAAACAGAAAACAATTGCAAACCAGTTTGCAGCTGTGTGTGGTGAAAAGCCGTTACTGGGTAATAAGTTCCTGGATCAGTATTGGTTCCACCACTGGTATAAAAAGAAAAGCCTTTCTTTTGAACTGCTATCTGTTGCTCTGTCAGACTTATGATCAATGTTCAGTTCTAATCGACTGCTCTTTGTACTTTGGTTAGGACAACAGCAAGAGCTGTTTTAGACTTTAAACAACAACAACTGGTGAACACAGATGCACAAAGACTAGGTTCAAACACTTCTTTCACAAGAACATGGCTGTACATACTGTAAGAACCGATTCATGTTGCACAGCTCTTGCAATTATATTTTGAGCATGTTAAAAGTAAAAACTATAGCCAGTAGCCTTAAAGCTTTGCTGTGTAAGCGTCAGATTAACACAAGAAAGAAAAGTTCAAATTATTATTATTATTATTATTGTTTCCTACAATGCATAGTGGAACAGAAAACAACCTTTCATTATCACAGGGTAAACAGCAGCCTCTCGTCCATATTAGTCCTATTTTATTCTCAAAATACAATATGAATAATTTCAGAATTAATACTTCTTCATAGGTAAATTTTAATTTAATGATCATTTTTACATTTGCGTAATACATACAGCTCTCACTGTCTTTTGCACAGGTGGACATCAGTTTGGGCATGGACAGTGGCGACCTGTCCGACTTTGTGGACAATGTGGAGTGGGAATGCCACGGCATGCCTGCAGTAAGAAATGTTATGATGTACGGATGCTGCTCTGACCCGTACACTGAGATCACATACACCCTTCTGCTGAAACGACGTTCCTCGTTCTACATCTTCAACCTACTCCTCCCTTGCTTCCTCATCTCCTTCCTCGCCCCGCTGGGTTTCTACCTGCCTGCCGACTCTGGGGAGAAGGTGTCCCTCGGTGTCACAGTACTGCTGGCACTCACTGTGTTCCAGCTACTTGTTGCTGAGAGTATGCCTCCTGCAGAGAGCATGCCCTACATAGGTTAGAGCTTCCTCTTATTTCCTAAAACTACGGGAATTAATAAAAAATCCTAGGAGGGGTCACGGAGGTCAAACTGCTCAGTGTTTGGCCATAATAACTATTGTTATTGTATGATTTGCCCTTCCGTCAAACCTCTTCTTAAAGAATTGTTTATTCTCCCCGTCTCTCCTAAGGCAAATACTACATAGCCACCATGACTATGATCACAGCCTCGACCTCTCTCACCATCTTCATCATGAACATTCACTTCTGCGGTGCTGAGGCTAAGCCGGTCCCACACTGGGCTAAGGTGCTAATCATTGACTACATGTCAAAAATCTTCTTTGTCTATGAGGTGGGGGAGAACTGTACTACACCCGAGACTGAACAGACCCCACTGTACCCAGAGGAAACAATGAGTGATAAAGCCTGCTACCATGACGACCAGCTCCATGAAAGCACCTTCCATTATGACAGTGACCTTTACAGGAACACCAATGGCCACAGTGTGCATCATAACAACGTGCATAATAAAAGTCAGGCCAATGGCACCGCCAAGAAGAAGAAGAACCATCATTTTAACAACCACAACAACATTGCTTCTAGACTTGAGAGCGGTGAGGGGATGCGAGAGTCCACCCAACATTACAACCACATCAGACAAAATGCCCCAGAATACCAGATTCCGCCTCATCCAAAAAACCTCCAGCAGCTGAACCAGCTGCTGAAGGAGCAGCTCCTGTATCACACGGAAAAACATCACATCCCTGCCTGCCCCTGCTGCTGCCCCTGCCTCCAACACAAACAGGTAGAGTAAATCAGCAGAGTTAACCCAGTGATAGCCTCATCACTACTATACATTGTCACTGAGTCCTTTCTAAGTTCTTCTAATTGACTTTGCTTCAGGTGGTGAAGAACATCCAATACATTGCCAACTGCTTTCGTGACCAGAGAGCCACATGTGCCAAGGTAGCCGAGTGGAAGAAGGTTGCCAAGGTGATGGACAGGTTTTTCATGTGGATCTTCTTCATTATGGTCTTCCTCATGAGCATCCTCATTATTGCCAAGGCCTCCTGAAATCCTGCTACTACTACTGATTTTGCCTGCACTGACATGTTTGCCTTTCCTCACTCTTAGACCCAGGTTACCTCAGTGCTGCTCTGATGCAATGTCTGATTAATCAAGAACAATTTATGTGTAAGAAATGACTTTTGACATGTCAGAATTTCATTGAGTGCTTGTGTGAATTATATTTGGGTTTTTTTTCTGCTTCTATACCAAGTCTCCACAAACAACTCCATTTCACCAATACAAAAATGCATCAAAAGAGTTCAGTTAGTTAAGGCCAGGGCTGTTTCCAAGTGTTACGGAGCTGTGGAGTGGTAAGACAATCTGGGACTCGTCTTCAACATGCATGGACTCTCTATTATTGATGAGCTAACAGCATGACATCCAGCTATAGGCATTACATGACTTACATTATGTGTACCTGTCAATTCAGCTGAATCGTGTAGAGACTTTGGTGACAAACTCATGTGGTTTAAAACTATTGAAACATTCTGTAGACTCTAGCTGTGAAGTAAATCTCATTTGTGTTGAAAATTCCACTCCAAAAGTGTGGTTAGATCATTAAAGCCTGACATGCTGAGTGTGGAAGCGATTTTCTGGTCTGAAAATATATAATTATTATATTATGAGATCAACCACATTGCTCGAAGGGCAGTAAGTTCGTCTATCACTGACATGTTAATTGATTTTGTAGACTGATTAATATTGTCAGCAACTCTGGAAGCATTCATCAAGCCGCTGTCTAGATGCACATTAATGACTGAAATACACAAACTCTAAGCTACATTTTGATTTCTGGTTTTGCATATTTTTCAAGTATAAAATGTCATCCTTTGGATTAGTCACAAATAAAGACAGGTGTGAAGAAAATGTACCTGCTGTTATTTCTGTATAGGGAAAAATATTTTAAAATAAATTAATAAATAAAAGGAAACTTTTTTATCATTTTTAGGAACATTGTTTACATTTTTTTATGAATAATCAATCAGTAGATATCCTGTGAATAATATGACTATAAATAGTAATTGTTTGATAGTCCTAATATATATGATATCTGTTGGGATGTAATGTTACAGGAAAGTCACATCTCTGTAGTCACAGTTTAGTACATTTTCCGTAAGAAATTAAATATGGAGTCACAAAAAATTGACAAAAAGTGGACCAGTCGATCAACTAGTTGCTGATGACGTCACTTCTATTTCAAAGTCATTAATATAAAAAAAATCACAGCGGGAGGGAATGCTTCTTATAATCTGTATTCACAGAAAACATGCGTCTCATCAACATTAGTTTTACTATTTTTACCTACTTAAAACACTAAGTATATCAGCCACAACTGTCTCATCTTCCACATAGGCGAAGTATTTTTGTACAGGAGAGAAACACAAACAGGTTGATGCCTTGTGTGGTGTCTACTCACGTTTCGGCCGCTGGGACGTGCTGTTCTCCCATTCACAATACGAGGCAGGTCCATGTTAGCTGCTGAGTAGTTACACACTATTGGGTCCGGTCACAATTGCGTTCCGGCGGAAGTTGGACTTTGTTCCGCTTGCCATTAATTAGGCTTCCCCTTGACACTGTAAAAAAACAAAAACAAACAATGTACGGTTGCACTGGCGTACTAACCTTTATTTGTAAAAAAAAATAAAAAATTAAATCATTAAAACATTATTATTTGTTGGCTGCGCTGCTTTTAAAAAGAGCATGTAATTGATTACAGCCGCCTCACTGACTGTTTCTCCAATATATTAAAAAATGAGTGAATAAAATGATCAAAATGATTATTATTCAGTCAGAAAACACATTCTTATAAAGAACTGAGTGGATGACATTGTTTTATCTTATCATCTTAAGTTTTCTTTTTTTACTTTATATGATGAATGGTGAGTCTCCTCAGACTGCATATCACTGATATTGAAGTGTCAGCAGACTTTCTGAAGTCAGCAGTGCATCATGATAAATGTTTTCAATAACAAATGACCTTTGCTTCTTCTGAAACGAAATAAAACACAACACTTTTAGGCTGTGGAACAATAAAATAACTGGTCTCCACTAATACATTTTAGTCTTTATTCTTTGAGGAAAATACTACGTCAATATCACTAATGATGAGGTGAAATAAACTACAAAACAAAACAAAACAACAACAACATCATCATTTAAACATTCCTCTTTCATCTGGAAGCAGGTTTGTTACTGGACTGTCAGCAACATTGTCCAGTCAGACTGAGTACCAACACAGAACAACTACTTTTATTGATCACAGCGTCTCTTGATCAACAATCAAGAGTTTACAGAGCTGTTTACAAGCTGTTTACAGAGACAGTACATTCCATCCTTCATGTTGTGTTGGATGTTATGTCCCTGGCTGGAGTGTTTAGAGTGAGAGATAAGGCAGAGTCAAATGATCAGAACACAGTTTCACCAGATTGATACTGCAGGCTTGGTTAAAGTTCAGCGTGGGATTCACAGAGACAGACACACCCACCAAGTGAGAATCTATATAGACATCTGCGTAATCGGTTTCTAATTTCTTGAGAAGAATAAGCAGAAACACAATGTCATTACTAACTAAGCAGCTGTCTTCGCTCACAAGTAAGTTTTTCTCACTATTTCTTTTCTTTATTCTTGAAGTTGTCTATTTTGGTTTTAACAAACATTTTTCCAGTGACTAGTTTCCAGGGTGAAACAGTTTGAATGGTTTTATTTGTCTTTGCCTGAAGACAGGACTTAATCAAATAGTTTGCTTACTAATGTCATGCTACAAGAGATGTTCTTACAAGACACAAAGATGCTTAAATAATGAAAATTATATATTTTGTTCTGTTTATATATTTCATTTTTTATGTTCAAAATACTCCATGTCAGAAGTTTAACTCATATTGAGGCTTGAGGACAACATAAAAACAAAGCTAGTTGGGCAAGTAAGTAATTAAAAAAGGTTAGTTATGTCGCACCGTAGGAACGGAACTCTGAAGTGAAGACAGACAAGATATTTACAAAATGTTACTTAGGAGAAAGTCAAATAAATGCTATCAATCTTTTTTCTTTCATTCCTCTAATCACTTTTTAATATCTGTCTACTTTCATTTGTCTCTCCAGACAGGAAGCCTCTTCCTCCTTTCACTGAGATCAGAATAGTTTTGCTTGGAAAAACTGGCAGTGGGAAAAGCTGCACTGCTAACTCCATTTTAGGTCGTAAGGCCTTTGACTCAAAGGTTGGAGGCTCCTCCGTCACGCAGCGCTGTCGCAGGGCCAGCGGAGATATTCGTGGGCGACACCTACTGCTCCTGGACACTCCGGGGCTGCTGGACACTCATCAAACGCCACAAGACGTGCAGAGAGAGCTGCGGAGAAGCGTGAGTCTCCTGTATCCTGGGCCTCATGTTTTCCTTCTTATTGTCCAGATTGGGAGGTTCACTCCGGAGGAGAAAGAAGCAGTGCGTCAGTTCAAACTGGCCATGGGTGCTCAGGCCTTGCAGTTTGCAGTGGTGGTTTTCACTCATGGAGACTTTTTGCAGGAAGGAACCTCTGTGAAGGAGTGTCTAATCGATCAGTGCAATGAATTGACTGAGCTTGTGGACGAGTGCGGCGGTAGGTATTGTGTCTTTAACAACAACAGCTCCAAAAACAAAGGGCAGGTTCTTGAGTTGCTCACTTTAGTGGACTGCATGATGCAGGGCAATGAGGGCGGCTACTACACCAGCAAGATTCTTCAAAAGGTGGAGGAGGAGCTGGACCTGGAGCTACAGGAGGAGAAGAAGATGTTGGCTGAGAAAGAGGAGCTGTTTAAAAAACAGGAGGAGGCTGTAATGAAAGATTGGTATGAAAGAAAGCTGGAAGATGTTCTGCAAAAATCCAGGGGTGAGATAGAGGAACTGAAGAAAAAACACGAGCTGGAGAACCAGTCTGAGAAGAGGCAGGCAAGAAACCTAGTGGAATCCTTCAAACAAGAAATAGAGCAACATTTGAAAAAAGAGAAGGAACAGAAGACGATGGAGATGTTGAGGGTGATGGCGATCCGTCAAGAGGAAGAGAGGAAGAGGGAGGCTCTACAAGAGAATCTTGACAAGGTGTCCAAAATGCTGGAGGAGCAGGTTAAGCAAGAGGATAAAATAAAAAGAGCAATGGAGGAGAAGATTGAAAAGAACAGAGTGGAAAGCCTCATGAAAGAGAGGGAGAGAGAACTTCAGCAGATTCAAAAGGAGCAGGCCATCAGGCAGAGGGAGGCAGTGAGGAGGGAGGCTCTGCAGAAGGAGCTGGATAAACTCACCTTTAGCTTGAAAAACCAGGTCGAGAGGGAGGAGGAGAGGACAAGGAAAATGGCCATCGAACTCAGGCATGAGAGGGATGAGAATCAGAGGATACGGGACATTCAGATGGAAAAACTAAGAGAGGAAAAAAGAAGAACTCAGGCTTTGAATCAAGAGCTGAATCACATCAAAATGCAAATACAGAAACAAAAGTCAGTGGAGGAAAGTCTGGCAATACACCTGGAGCAGAACCTGCAGAAGGAGAGAGAAAGGTGTGTGCAAGAAATATTACTGCTGAAAAAGAATTTCGACAAGAGGTGTCGAGAAGTGAGCGTTGATACCGCAAAAATGGATTCTGCAAAAAAGGACAGTGCAGTGACAGTTGTTACTGGTTATGCCCAGGAGATGGGGCTGTTGCTTGTCAACCTAGCACTGGAAAAGGTCAGAGCTCCTTGCGCCATACAGTAACCACGTGAATATATTTTAATAATATGTATAACAAACAATGATCTGATAGCTTATCTTTTTCTTGTATTCTCTGCACTAAAAAAATCACAATAAAAAGTCTGACCTCTTTTATCTTGTAGAACCACAAGTACAGTATGTGGTTCTTTAAGATAGAACCATAATTAAACTTAAAACTTAAACTTATTTTGACTAATTATGACTGGATAAGTAAGAACCCTTATTATATTTTGTCATTTATGTTACTTTATGTTATTTTAGTACTATTATAATAGTTGTATGACAGTTCCACACAGTAAAAAAGACCAAAGTGATTTGTTCATTTTGCTTGTATACGTCTTCAATTAAACTTTCATTTAGAACCAGTTGAACTTGTCAAAAGTCAGTTTCGGTAAAAATGTTTGCAATTATTAACATATTTCTAGTCGAGAGATGTAACTGCTTCATATCATTTCAACATCTAAGACAAAAAAAAGGAAAAAGACATCAATGTAAACATTGTGTTGGCTTGGATCTTGTCTTCACTCTGCAGGTACAAACCACAGCACTGCTGGGTTATTTACCTCAGGGTAAATACCATTCTATGTTCAGACCCACCCTGTGGATCGTAGACACTGAAGTGGTGGGAATAACAACGACTCTCCTATAGATGTCTTAATGCACCTGCAACATCAACACATTTTATAAAAAAACATTAGGTGATTGGAATAACTCTTTTGAATTTGAATTTTCACAAAGAGCAAGCTGTCACATTATAAATCATTTGAATTTTAGGGAAATCTATGTTTTATTTTTTGGACTAAAAGTCAGACTTTAGTTATTTACCTTTTATTTCATTTTGTCCTATAGGAAATTAGTTTCATCTCCACCGAAGTCATCATGTCTTTGCAGTGAATTATCATCTCAGTGAATTAGTTTCACATCTCCTCAGTGTTAAGGTTGATGTGTGTCTGTGTAGGTTCTCAGTCATCCAGGTCATTTTATCCAAAAATAGTTAGATCAAGTTTCATTTCAAAGGACACCCAGCCGCTCAGGTGAAACTATTAGTCCATAGGTACGGTACCACTCCCCATTCGCACCTCTAACTTTGTGACTTTGCATTCCGCCCTCCGTTGAATAGGGTCCATCCCCCTTTCTGCAACGACCCTTGTTTCGGGTATGTAAACCCTTTAAGGCTAAAAATCAGATTTTCCCAGTAGTCAGTGAGAACTGAAGAAGCCTCTTGCATAAGAGGTGAACTGTCTTAAAAAAAAAAACAACTTGCCAGTTGCCCTCGATGTAACTATTTTTGGATGAGGCTGATGTGGCAGCCACGTGCTGAACAAACATGCAAGTCTAAAAAACCACCTTTGTCAGTACATCCTGACAGATGGAATAAAATCAGATGCAGCAAGAATATTAAAATTATAAATTAACTTTATTATAAATTATTGTAGGCAGTGCTGCTATTCCTGATGAAACCAATTATGCATGTCTCTTCTTGAAGAAACAGACTGCCAGGTCACATACCTGTGGATTTGTGAAGTGAAGGAAAGTCGACCTTAGGCAATTAAATACATAAGTCAATTTGTTTGAGCTTCTTTTCTGAATACTGTACAATATTATTCACTATCTCTGAATTCAACAAATGTGTTTTAGTTAGGAATTAAGCCAGGGCCTAAGTTGGAGAGCTGAAAGTACAAAAAGTTCCTGCTATTTCAAGTTTGAACATAAATAAATAAATTGGCTAAATGATCTGAGACTTTGCCTGCTCTTGACAGAAACATGATTCAGTGCTTTCGGTGCAGTAATTAAAAATGTGTAACAAGAAAACATATTTATGCGAGTTAAATTGCAACTATTGCATAAAAGTAAAATTTAAAAACCCAAAACAATGTTTTCATGTCAATATTTATCTTTTCTTTTTTTTAGTTTATTTCTAATGCTGTCTTTTGATGACAATGTCATGATGACAACTATTCAAATTGTGCAGATACAAATCTGGCCACATTTGACATTATTAGATGTATGTATCCTGCTTAACAAGTCTATAAACTCGTTTTAACTGGAAAAAAGGGATACAAGGATTCACTCACATTCCTTTTTCCAAATATGGGAACCATAGGACTGTCACTACAACCCACACCTCCGCCTTGGGTTAAAACCAACCTATAATTTCAGGAATACCTCCTTTGCAGGCACCGTCAGGATCAGTGAAGAGATCTTTGCTTTGCAGGAGGTGTTGCAGCTTGGTGAGTCCCATCAATTGAATTAAAATTTAATTGCCTATGAAAAAGTTGTTTGCGGAAATGTGCTATTAGGAGCTGAAGGAGCAATGCATGTAAGCCTACATCTTTCATCTAATAAAATGTCATCTAATAGTGTTTTTACTAAACAAACCAAAAATCAAAGTGTTTCCACCTATGCTGAGGACTTCATGGTAGTTAAAGGTCAGATAAACTGTAATCCCCAACCTGTCTTGTATGAATGCATATGGTTTTATCATAATTTATACTTTAGAAAAAGTCAGTCATCCAACAAATTTGTCTGTGAAAACACGATGGTTTTCATTAAAACAAACAAAATATTAAAAAGTATTCAAGGTCACACTGGTTAAATTTAGCAAAAATACATTTTAGACTTGGAGCACAGAAAAAAACACTAAAAAGGAAAAGAACATCTGGACATGAACATAAAGTGGTATTAATGAGAAATGTGTTTGTTTGTTTTTTAAATTTATTTTAAAATACTAGCATCTATATTATTGTTCTCTATGAGACTTGTACTAGGCAGTCCAAATAACTTCTGTTTGACACCACAGAACAAACAGTAGTTGCAAGAACATATATATGGATACATCAAAAGCAAGAGCATTTGAAATAAATTATTATGAAAACAAGCACACACACACACAGGACCAGTCATCGTACTGACAATTGGTAATGATTTTCTACTTCGCCAACAAACAAACTTTACACTACAGGTTTGGCCATCAATCTGCTATTATATTCTCTTTGAAAAGTCTCGACTACTTGAGTTTGGCATAATCTGCAATGATTTTGTCATCACTCTTTCATGACAAACCCTTGCTGAACAAACACAGCTTTTGTACCAGATATAGGTATATTAGAATTATAAGCAAACAAAATTAAGATGCTTCTTTGTGTTTGCAGCTCTCCAGAAAATCACTATGTCTGTGAAGAACCACTACATGTCCCTTCCTAAAGGGACATACTGCCAAGTGACATACGTATGGATTAGTGAAGACAAGGAAAGTCTACGGAGTAAAACCAAGACTCTATGTAAAGAGCCAGCTGGAATTAAAGGTAGAACGAAACAAAACAAAAAAATTCTGATCCAAATTTTGGAGTTTTTGTAGTTGGTTAGTATACTATTATTATTCATTTAAATTAATATTTTCAAACACCATTTTTATTTCTGTTTCAATCTCTTTCAAAAGATATCCCTGAATGGTTTGCTGTGTCCACAAATATAACTGAACTCACTTTGGTTCCGGTGAAAATGTTCCGAGATCCCTTCTCTCTTGATCCAAATAAACTGGTTTTGTGTGAAGTGTTGGACTACAAACAAGTTCCAGCAGGTGAGACACCGTTCTGACTTGACAGTTGAAACACTGACATATTAAAATGACAGACTTGAACTTTGGTATGCACCCTGTGGTGTTTTAGTCCTCTTCTGTTTTGTTTTTTTCAACATCAGAGACTACCCTGCGGTCAAAGTGTGTTGAAGTGATGGAAAAGGTGGAGAAATTTGAACCGTGGTTTGGAATGGAGCAGGAGTATTTCCTTTTAGATTTGGATCGAAAACCGTACGATTGGCCACCAGGATGCCGATTTTATACAGGTAAGAAAAGATCAGATTATACTAGGTAATAATACTGATTAACAACTGACTATCAAAAACACGTTTTATATGGGTTTCACACTCAGGGTCATGTTGTGTGGGCAGTGAGATTATCCATGGAAGAGATGTCGCTACCTGTCACAATTTAGCCTGCCTGTATGCTGGGATTAAGATCTGCGGTTACAACCCTGAGGCCATCACATCCCAGGTATGAAACATTTTGTTTCCAATAGATAAAAGCTCCAGGGTGTTTGAAAGGTTAGGATCACTCCAACATCCCCAAAATTACCCTTAAGGTTTTCTAAAAACAAAAGCAAACTCCATCAGATCTATGAATAAATTCAAATGTGTTGATGTTGTTTTGTGATCTGGACAGTGGGAGTTCCAGATTGGCCCTTGTCTGGGCATTGAAATGGGGGACCATCTGTGGATGGCTCGTTATATTCTCCATCGTGTCTGTGAAGAGTTTAAGGTTATTGCCACCCTGGACGTACAACCTGTCAGTGGACACCTTTGTCCCTCAGGCGGCCACGTCAACTTCAGCACTAAGGAAATGAGGAGTGAAGGCGGACTTCAGTAAGTTTATAAGCCACACACACCACGGCTTCAACCACACAGTCACACAGTGGAAGAGTGGTTAGTACTTTTACTGGTAATTAAAAAAACAGCCTTTCTCTCTTTATTTTGATAATTCTCAAACTACTGTAGTTGTGTTGTCACGACACCAACATTTTGGTACCCTAAGTGTTCCCATACTTTTCGGAATTTTTTTCCAAATGAAATAAATAAATAAAATCATAAATGCCACTTATTATTATTTTCCTAAGAGATTGAATATAAAAATACATTGTTTTTAAACTTAAAATAATATCACTGAAAGTCCTGGTAGAAATACAGATTTTTGATAAATTTGGAGAGACCTTTTTTTTTCCAGAGCCATAGATGCACGACATGTACAACGACTGATATTTAGCTAACCTAAGATTTTAAAAATACTATGTAATGTATAGTAAAAAGTAGTGAAGACATTAGTCCTGCTTATGCCAGGCTATATTCAATAAAAACCTAGGTGAAAAACCTAGTAACATAACTCATGTAGCCAAATTGCCATTACTAAAGCAACATACCCACGATAATACAATTACAATATTATCAAAAAGTCAAAATACATTTTACTCACCAAAAGTTCTGATTATTTGTTCACAAAATCCATACTCCTCTCTTTCTGTAAGAAAATTTAAATTATTCTGTTGTACAGATTATTCGTGCGGTTCAGTTCTAACAAGCCCCGTCGCCATCAAATCAAATGCGTAAAGACCAATCTGTTCGGTTTTGTCTGCTCGACAGCCAACTCTGATCTGTCCGTCGCCATCACATCAAATGCGTAAAGACCAATATGTTCGGTTTTAATTTGTCTGCTCGACAGCCAACTCTGATCTGATTGGTTAAAAGAAACTATTTAATTACCATAAATGCCAAAAGGCCTATGTCTTGTCTTGTCCGTCCTCCTTTCACCCTGGCAACACGTGGTGGCTGAAATGATTGGATAAAACAACTACAATTATACACGACTGGAAGCAGCATAACAAAAGAAAAAACATTGAAACGAAGAGAACAGACTGTTTGGTATTATTTTATAAATATTCGTGAAATTCTATTAAAACATAAGTAAATGATTGTGATACCGTGTACCGTAGGCCAGCAGAGAAGGCCTTGCTGGCCTTGACGATACACCATTAATGTTGATATGTTATTTCCAGGTACATCGAGGAAGCAATAAAAAAACTGAGTCGTCGTCATTCTCACCACCTCAGCGTCTACGACCCACATGGTGGAGCCGACAACATACGTCGCCTCAATAGTCAAACAATTACCTCCAGTTTCAAGGAATTCTCTTCAGCTGTAGCTGCGCGTGACGTCAGTGTTCGCATCCCCGGACAAGTCTTCCGCAGTGGACACGGTTATTTTGAGGACAGACGTCCTGCCGCAAACTGTGACCCATACAGCGTGATGATAGCTATGATTGAAACCTGTCTGCTGGGAGCAGCTGATGATGACATGGAAAAAAACACCAATGAGTCTTGAAAGAGAATTTTAAAAAATTGCAAATTCAAGAAATCACAATATTAATGTTATTGTTTGTGGTACCTTGAACATTGAAATAAATCCAGTTTGATCAAGTTTAAAGATGTTAGGAGCTATTTAGTCGACACTGAAGTTCTTGAAACTATATATATATATATATATATATATATATATATATATATTGAAGGACCATTTTTATCTCTGGTTTCAATCCCTATTTTACTACCCTGCTTCGCAAATTGTCTGTGAGGAGAAAATCACAGGGGAAACAGAAAATGGAGACGCTATATTTTCATTTTCAATTTTCAGTTTCTATGCATAAAAATATAGTTGTAATACACGACTTTTGCATCTGACAAAAAGACAAAGTTGAGGAGTTTGAGGTAAATATTGTGTTTAATAAACAAACATCAGTCAGGGAACTGACATTAGTCTGGAGATGGAGAAGGTAGGGAAAATGAAGCACAATGCACATGTGTAGAGGTGTGGGGAACATATTTATCTGTTACACAAGGTGCCCCCCGTACAGTAGGAGCAAGAAGTTCTATATAACATACAGATCAGGATCCAAGTCTACAGTACAAAAACTTAGCAGCAACATGTTAACATCAGAGACCAAGGGGCTAACAAAGTAGTTTCATTTAGAAAAAGTCACAGTTTCCTTAAAGCATAAATTTGTTAAAAAGGTTAAAAACAGTTCTAAGAATCCTCTAGGGTCAATGCTACTCACGAGATCTGTATGTGAAATACACAGGTAGAGAAATCATCTATACATTTATAGTCTAATATAAAGACCTTCTGGCAATGGCACAGTACAAACTCTCAGGAAAGGCGACAAAAATATACAATGTCTTCACGTCACATTTGCAGATTTTAAATGTAACTAAGGTCTCTGGCAAGCGCAATAGATTCAGCGACCAAAAAACAATTTCTCTTCAACCAAAATAAAGGACACCGTCGTGTTAGTTCAGCTATCTGGACAGATTATGTCTTTTTTAATACAAAAATAAGCACAAATATAAATTAATATATATTAAAAGAATCAGTTTGATACATAGGGGGGGTCTACTGAATAGATACAGGTATTTATAATACAATAAATACTTGTTTTTCATGATAGAGGTCAATAAACAGAGAGAAGTTTATTTAACCATCAGTCTACAGGTGTGTTGAATAAGCAAGAGTGTGTACGTGTGTGTGTGTGTGTTCAGTAGCTGAATAAAATACCACAAGTTTTAGCACAGCTGTGTGTCAGGAGATGTGCACAGTCTCAGAGGATTTGTGGAGGTCTGTTAAGGAAGGTTATCGCCACCTACCATCTCTCATGCCATAATACAGCTCCTCCCTGCGGCGAGTCTGTGAAACTACCAGTTAGAGTGACTCCTAAAGCACAAAACTCACAGAAGGGTTTGCAGGAAGTGAAGTGGAAGTGGTCAAGTCATCAACATCAGTGACATCGGTCAGTCCTCCAGGGAAGAGACAGTGTGGCACAGCATTGGACTCATCATAACCAACGAAAGGAAGGAGGTGTGAGGAAAAAGTCAACTTATTTTTATTTTTTTTTTGTCTTTTTGTCCACTTCATAATAAAAATAAGTCTGTTTTTGTACATCATCAGTCCAGCAATGTCACGAAAAACATATTTCTAGGCATTTCTTTCTTTTTCCCCCATAGGTTTTTCTACAAAAAACAGGGTCCATTAAGAAGGAGGACTGTTGTGTGTGGAGTTTTTTTTTTTCCATAGAGAACTGGAACAATAGACATTTGAGGACGAGGATCAAGTAAGCTGGTTGACAGGAACATAGAAAATACTGGTGTAGGTGGAAATCTGCCAAGGGTATTGTCTTTTTTTTATGACGAACACTTTGTACAGCCGCACTTCACCACTTTCTCCACTTCCTGGACAAAAGAAGAACCATCAGTGCACTGGAAGGTATATTTCCTGCGTTTGCTGCGGACAGGGGTGCAGCAGGTGTCTTGTCCGTCCGCACCCACAGTGCAACTGCCCCGACACTCTAGGCGGGAGACCTTTTCCTGGGTCTGACACGCCGCGTAGCCTTGCTGTCTCTGGTAGACATCTCTGACCCGTTCTCCTCTGCAGGCCACCTCTGGGGGAACAAACCAAGAGAAAAGTTATCAGCGGCCAAACTCTGTACTTACTGATCTTCTACCAAAATGAAACCATGATGACAAACTAAAGGTTCATAACACTAAATAAACTCTTTTCTTATGTTTTCTATTCACGAAAAGCTCAAGTAAGCTTTACTTTAACTCAACACGTTTCCAGAAAAAATAGTACGCTTAATCAAATGCAATTTGAACTAAAACCTGTACTAGCTGCACTTAAAACCTGATGTAAAGGTCTATAGAACAAAAATAAATACACAGAAACACATGTCTCAACTTTTAATGCTCTATATAAGGTCAAATGCTTTTATTTCACAGGAAAACAGTAAAAAACAAAACACATTTTACACATTGAAATCAAATACATGATTTCAGTTGTTCTGTAGAGAAGTCATGAAGAAAAAGGAGGAAAAGAAGCGACAGTTTATGCAGAGGTCATGCAGTCTCACCTGTGTAATCCCTCGTGTGGGATTAAGAGAAGGCTCAGGAGAAGCTGGGTTAGAGAAGCAACAGGGTTAGAGATGTTAACGCAGAAACAGACATGTACACACATGCTGGTGTGAGGGGTTAAAGGTGAAAGAATGCATTCTCTGTAATTACTTAAAAATACATCCAGTATATTTACACTCCTCCCCCCTCCCTGTAAAAACACAGAGATCATACCCGAGTTTTACAGAATGACGAAGCTGGAACTTAGAATCAAAAAATTACATCCCAGGGATTAAGTATGTCTGTTTTAGAGAAAAAAATTACTTAAGTCCTTAAAGTTTCAAGTCCTAGTCCAAGTCACTAGAGATAAACCTGGGCTATTTTTGAAGTTGAGTTGAAGTCTTTAAGACTGATCTGTTGAGGTTTTAATTTAAAATCTGATTTAAAAAAGAACAGTTCAAGTCAATTATGAAGTCTATGTAGGTTTACTTCCAATCCGTGACTGTTGCAGTGTTTCGTCTATAGAACAGTGACAAGAAGAAAGTTAAAGACTCTACCACTAGGTGGCAGCAGATGCCTATAAAAAGTTAAAAAAAGAGCGAAGGTTAATTTAAAATCTTCAAACACGCCTGTCCTCATTTTGCATATTTCTGGACATAAGAATTTGTATCATCAGATAGAAACCCAAGCATACTGTAGGAATAAACCAAGGCATTCACCGCTGGGAAGCCAACCAGGCACCTTGTTTATTATAAAAGCAACAGTTGTGGTAAATATTAGTTGCAGGAAACTGAAATGTTACTTCAGGCAGACTAAAAGAAGAGAAACTTGCTTTCTCACCTCTGTCACAGGCCTCCCCTGTGTATCCACTGTTACACTCGCAGTATGCGTTTCCCAGACCTGAAACTCTGCATTTGCCATGCTTGCAGCGGGCAAGACTGCAGGGGTTAGCAGTTTCCTGGTCCGGGGTATCACAGAGTACACCAGTAAAACCAGGCTGGCAGCGACAGGAGTAAGAGTAGGAGTTGATTGGTTGGCAGGTTCCGTGGATACACCTGCAGAGGGATGAGAACAGTACAGCTGTAAGATAAATGATGTGAGGTAAAATGTGAATTTCAAAGATAATAAACAGCCTAACACTCACTTATGGCCATCACAGGGGTTGTTGACCTGCTGGTCACACAGTGCTCCGGTCCAGCCAGGGTGGCAGGTGCAGGTGAAGCCCCGATGCCCCGTTGGATGACAGTCCCCTTGGACACAGACTCCTCTTTGGCATGGCTGGCAGCCTGGCTCCACCCCTTGACCGAGCCCCTGTCTGACCCCTGAGCCTGAACCTGACTTCAGCCCAGCCCCCAGGTCCTGCAGCTTCCCATTAACGTATAAGTTACGGAGGCAGCCGTGGAAGCTGGAGCCGTTGCGTCCTCCAGAGCTGTGCTGCAGGGCTGACAGACCCCCAGAAGTGGAGGCCCGCTCCGGCATCCCTGATGGATGGAGAAAAAAAAAAGGTTATACCAAAAATGTGGTTCCTCTGGTATATGTGGATAGATACAGTTGACAAAAAGACTATTACTGTTAGTTAGCCTCTATTAATGTTTTTACAATTATATAATAAATAATAAAAAATAATAACCAAGAATTATTGTTATAAAAATATTGTAAAAAATTAAACTCAAAATCTAAATAAAGTTCCCTTTAACTGCAAAAAGACAAGTAATTAGCTTCTATGATTATAATTTACCATACTATACCATACACATCTGTGGTTTTACTTTTTATAATTGCCCCTTTTACTGTACATATCAGATAAAAAGAAGAAAAAAGTATTTTCTCCTTTTGTCTTTCTCTTAATTCTGTCACACGTGTGTGTGTGTTAACATCCATCTGTCTCTGTGTCCATACCTCCCAGGTAAAGAGGAGAGTCTTTGTTGAGTGTGGACTGTTTGCTAATGGAGTTGATTGTTTTGGGTGATCCACCATCAATAGACAGAGACAGAGTTTGGTCTGATGTCACCAACTCCACCACATGAAAACTTCCATCATTCACCGTCTCCACGCTGAGGAAGAGAGAAAAGTCAATCCAGACAAACGTTAGTCTGAACATGACATCAGTATTACAAAGCTGAGCTGCCTGTTTCAGGTCGTACCTGTATATAGCAGAAGGTGGGTAAGAGCCGGTGTCGTAGCTGACCCTGAGGCGACCTCTGTACAGCTCCATGGCAATGTAATCATTGTCCCCTTTGTACAACAACACTCCGTTGTCTTCATCTGTTGCTATCTGGATGTTTTACAGAGGAAACAGCAGGACATCAGTTGATGTGTGGATAAGTGTGAAGTGAGGGTGAGTGGGTGTGGCATCAAAACTGAACCTACAGCAGCTTTCAGATGCAGAAATAATTATATTTTACTGTAAACCCAAGTGGCCTCTAAAAGCATAAAAGAGATAGAACTGCCTTACAATAAAATCTCTATTTCTGTTGTGTATTGACACCAATGCAAAGGTAGAAGACAAATAAATATTGAATCAAGGAAAAAAAAGATGCAGAATAAAATTGAGGAAACTAATTAAATTTAATCTAATCTAATCACTGATAATATCTGTAATAATGTCTATAATTAACAAGGATTCATGTTATTTTTACTTGGAACTTTTACTTGACAAGTTTGAAAGTTCAATTTAAATTTTTCAACATTGCTGTATCATAATGTTAGAGCACGATGGGTATCATCTCTGAGTCCTTTAGTTATTAATGCAGTACAGCACTGGAGCGAGTGTTCACCTGTAAGCTAATGTTGGTCTGTGGTGAGAAAAGACTGGAGGGAAGCTGCAGGTAAGACTCGCGGTTGACAAAGTTGACACTGACAAGCGTCTCACAGTGTTCACCCTCGTAGCCATGCAGACACTGGCAGCGGGGATCTGAACCCACAACCACACACTGGGCACCGTTCAGGCACTCGTGGTTGTCACAGGGGCTGGTGCGAGGAAGGACCATGGGAGGAGGGAACTCACAGAACAACCCACTGCAGCAAAGACACACAAACGTTTAAAAATATCATTTAAACAGCTTTCACCATCATTCCAGCGCAAAAAACCTAAAAAGGTACATTATACAAACTGACAATGATCCCAGTGAGGAAAACCCAACCACAGTACGCACCAGTGATCAGTGGTTTCCAAAGTAGGGGGTGGGTCCCCCTTCTTTGACATACAGACGTACACTTTAAAACAAACTTTCTGCTACGACATTTCCCCCCCAAAAAAGTTTTCCATGTTTTTTATTGCTCATTTCCCCCCAAAAAAAGTTTTCCATGTTTTTTATTGCTTTCAAGTTAATAATGTCAGTTTGTGATGATCATCATGACGTAAACTGATCCATAACTGCTGGTAACAACAAGTTAACCATGATATGACGTAATGTACTTCATGACTTGAATGGAGTGTGTCTTCTCACCTGTATCCTTCTGGACAGACGCAGGTATATCCGTTGATGGCATCGATGCACTGACCTCCGTTCTGACACTTGTTCTCTTCACAGTCGTCAAAGTCCACTTCACAGTGCTCACCTACGTAGCCAGGTGTGCACTCACACCTGCAACACAACTCACTTCAGTTACATTCTACTCAGTTGACGGTGAAGTCCAGTTGATCAGGATGTCCTTGATGTCTGATGACATACTTGTATCCTTGAGGAGTCAAAATACACTTTGAGTCGTGCTGACATGGATTCAGATCCGGAGCACAGAAGTCCACTTTCTCTTCACACAGTTCACCTGGAAACACACACACAGAAGAAGAAACACGTAAACACATCAGCAAATCACTTTTAATACTGTGCTATAAAATGGAGAAAACTCTGTATTATTATTATTTTGTAAATTCATGGACAATGTTTTTGTTTATGCATTTAAGAACAACCTTCTCTTAGGAAGGGCACAAGTCTATAATAAATATAAAAATATATGTGTGTGTGTGTGTGTGTGTGTATTGTGCATTCTAAAGGTGTGTGTCCTTAACCAACCAACCAAATGTTTGATATTCCCAGCAGTATTACAAATAATTCTCAATTGTCACACAAGGATAAATCATTTCCCGAATCTGACTCTGATTCTCAGTTACAATACAACTTATTTTCCATCAACAGTGACTCAGTGCTAAGGACTGTACGCTCAGGCCTGGTAGTCATCACGTTATCATTGAAAACCTGTGAGATCTTATAGTAGATGTGCTGACATGTTTATGTTCTGTATCTATTTTACAGTAAATGTCTTCATTTTACCCATAATTACAGCAGCAGTGAGCTGAGTCATGAAGTCCGGCTGCTGTTTGATGGGTTTTATCTGCATTTAGGCTTTGGAGCTGTGTGAACTCAACTGCTCTCACCTCGTGAGCACAGACAGAAAATTAGTTTTCAACTAAACACATTTATCAATAGGTGTAATTATATATATATATATATATATATATATAAATAATCAGATTAATCCCAGGGTAGCGCTGAATTGGAAGAGATTATTTCAATACCGCCCCCAAAATACAATTTTAAAAGCTCCACTACACACTAACTGTTTGTAGATCAGGCCAACCCTGTGAGTGAAGCTGATGATGTGAATCTTAGTGAAAAGCTGTCAAAGAAAGAAGTCAATGAAGCCGAAAAATGTCATTGCACCTATTGAATTATTATTGGAAACCGATTTGAAACTGGTTTAGATATAGCTGTAGCAGATGTAAAATGTTAATAAAATTCTAATTTAAAAAAGTAATTGACGCCTTGACAATTTCCGGGTCAGTTCTATTATTAGATAACAGCAGGCTCAGAAGCAGATGTATTCATTTGGCTCTTTTAATATTTGGGACTCTAAGAGCCTGTGGAGCCTGGAAACTATTTGGAAGATACACACATGTAAAAAAAAAAAAAATCACATCGGTTCTGTTCTTCCTAAACTGTTGATCTGGAATACAGCATATCATCTTTTGGTTTGATAATGTTATGTTTACAGAGAGTGGCAAGAGGAGAGAACACAGATACATCGCATTAGGAAAAGTTGCTTTGATCAACGGGGTCGTGCAGAGCAAACATGAAGCAGGGCTTAGTAGAAAATGTTCAATCTGTGGCAGTGTCACATTTCTGCAGCACACAGGGTCAGGTAAGGAAGAAGGAAAGGAAATGAAGCAAGGAGAGAGGAAGGGGGAAGGCAGTGAAGAACAGACTAACCTCTCTCAACCTCATTGTTAGCAGCTGCAACAAAAAAAAAAAGAAAAAAAAAAAAGAAAAAGAAAAAGAAAAAGAAAAACAGAGGACAGATATATATATTTAGAGCCAGACACAGACAGGGAGAGAACAGCGCCAAAAAGGTTAGCTGTCAGAGATGATTAGCACAGTGAAAAAGCAGACGAACAAGTAGCAACAGAGCAGCGTCGGTCAGAACGTGGTGTGATCGATCTGCAGCGCGTTTCTGTCAGAGAGACGTCTGTCATTCAGTGGACACAACAGAGTACTACAGCAGAGTGAATTTTTACTGTCACCAGGAAGGATCAGTTTAATATTTCTATAGATCCATATATAAGTGCCTAAAATTATTATTATTTTATATTAGTGAAAATGATGAATAAAAAAAACTAAAAACAGAAATTAATATCAATGCAAAAACAAGAATGTAATAATGAACAATAACTGCAGGATTGATGTATATTTGAATAACTGTGTGCATTATTTTATATATATTTTATTTATATATATATATATATTTTATATATATATAAAGCCACAAATCACATGATGACATTAAATTGCACAGAAATTGCCGACTATTGTTCTGTGTATGGTGACACAGAGACAAACGTGGACCCTGTCACTGGTATTACCTGTATATTCCGGGGAACACATGCAGGTGTAGTTGTTGATACCGTCGATGCAGGTGGAGTTGTTCTCACAGTCGTTGTCCTCACAATCGTCTATGTTGATCTCACAGGCATCGCCTTCAAAGCCCTCTGGACACACACACCTGGTGATATGAAAACACACACACACACACACAAAGACTGAATAAGAATGTGTCTCCACCATGTGACTATAGCCACACACACAGTGGTTCATTACGAGGATAATAAAATGCTCTTGTGCGGCACGGACTCAAGTGGATTTACCAACATTTCATTACTTTGTCACTGACAGCTCTCTATGAGGAACTAATCACTCAGAGGATTCATGAGCAAAGACAACACAGAGAGAAGTAATGATGAAAAAAATCATAGACCAAGAGAGAGAAAGAGCAGATGATTTGTGATCAGGTTGGTGTAACGTCTGTGTGGAGGGTATAAATCTGTTCAGCTTCTCGCTAATGGCAGGGTGCTAATGGTTCTCTGTGAGTCTAATGAAGAGAAGGCGAATCTCTCCGCCGGAAGACGAAGACCAGAGACAAAACCAGTCTAATTAGCAGTTTACCTTCTGTTTTATTCATTCCCACGTGTCATTAGCGCAGCAGCATTATTGATGGAGGTAGCCGCTGCAGTTCAGATTCCATTCTTGGGTAATCTAGCGCAGTGATTCCCAACCACTGTGCCATGGCACATTAGCGTGCCGTGAGAGATCGTTAGGCGTGCCACGGGAAATTATCCAATTTCACTTAATTGGTCTGATAGCTATAATTTATTTACAAAATAATTTGTCTCTTGTTTGTCTACGCCAAATTGAGAACTAAATAAATTAAATACTTTTCCTTTGTGTCTTTCTTCAATTCCTGGAAGTATATCAGTGTTGTGTTCAACTAAACTGGCCTGAGATTCACATTGAGTGAGTAAATTATTTAATTACAAAGTCATTCTATAAAGTTTGGGAGATATTTTTGTGTAGTTTTACGCACACAAAAAAGGCTTAGAAAACACTGTGTTAGATTGTGTATAAGCTACATCATATTTATCCAGCCACAGCTGTCAAAGAATTCAAACACACACATCGTTGCAAAAAAAAAAAAAAAAAAAAAAGATTCCAGGCACCAAAAAATAGACCTTAAATATTTCTCAATAAGGCCATTTTAAAGATTCTTACCAGAAGTTGCTTCCTTCTCCTTCCTTCAGGTGACAGGTTCCACTGTTCTGACATGGGTTACTGATGCAGGCGTGGATGGGCTCCTCACAGTTCTGGCCCTGAGTGCACACGACACACAGAACAGGATTTTCCCATCTTTATCACCAATTATCTTGGACCAAGACTACATGGGTTAAAGCCCTGAGTCTGTTGTGCTCTGAGTATCTGCCTCTGTCCTTCAGCTGTCTGTGGTTGTTTACCTTGAATCCGTAGGGGCAGGTGCAGCGGTAGTAGTGCACCGGGTCGTTGGAGCAGGTGCCGTCGTTCTTGCAGGGGTTTGACAGACAGGGTTCACATTTGGCCTGGACACTCAGATCCACCGGGCCTGTTTGAAGGACACACACAAACACACAACAGAGAGCAGGGATTCAACAACCTCCAAATGGACAAAAACAAACAGGTGTAAATACATGACAGATCAATACATCATCAAGAACCTGCTTAAACACGCTTCAGTTACACACTGCAAATGTTGCTTTATGTTTGCAAACATCATTTTCATTTAGAATTAATGTTGAATTATGAATTATGAATTACATGAATTCTATAATGTTTTTAAAGCACACACAGCAGGTTGTCTTCGCAGGTCCATGACTAGTACAGAGGACACACACACATTAACATTTCACAGTCAGACACTTGTGGTTAAAACAAGAGGTTTGTAAAGAGGTTCAGTCTGATCAGGGTTTGGAGGAGCAGCTGAGGGAAGACGGGGCGAGGACCAGAGCAGAGACTACGGAGGAGGAACTGATGATGAGCAGCTTGTTTACCTGGCACCAGAAAACCACACGGACCCACGACTTCTACAGAGCGTCGGTTAGATCAGGTCAGAAACAGGTTTTAGTCATGTGTTCATTTTGATGTCAGGAGATCAAAGGGTGCTAACACTTTGTAACAGTCAAGATCAAGGTTATTATCAGTTACGTGTTTTAAAAAATGTTACAAGAAAGAATAAATAGTTCTTCAACGTATGAATACAAACTGACAGGTAAATTAAAAATAAGTTTTATAAAAAGTTGAGTTGAGTTCCAAGAACCAGCTGTCGATGTGAGGACATTATTTTTTGAAGTAAAGTTTCAGGCATCAATTTTTACGTTATACAGCTGTCGATGTGAGGACATTTATTTTTTAAGTTTCAGGCATCAATTTTTACGTTATGTTTAAAAAGACACAAGATACAGGAGTATTATTAAATACAATTGAACTTTAAACAGCTGATTCTATTCTTTCATGATTCTTTACAAACAAACAGATTATGATTTTGAATAAACATCTGAATCCATATTCATACGTATGTGTGTGTTTATTTCTTTTATTTTTTTTGTTATGACACAGAGTCCTGCGTGTCTTTACCTGTGCACGTAAACTTCTTAGAAGGCGTGGTCAGCAGCAGTTTGTCGGTCATGTCTCCAGGCCCGGCACAGCGGGCTATACCAGGCTCCTTGTATCCACTCTTCACCCAGTCTGACAGCCACTGCATGTGGCAGTCGCAGTACAGAGGGTTGGCCCCCAGGGCCCTGTCATTGGAAGGAGAGGGAGGACACTGTTCAGTCACTATAACACAGCATTGATTTATTTAAGATGAACTGTGTCAGGAATCAGAGGTAAAAAGTATGTGTATCAGTGTCAAATACCGAACTGTAAATTACTGTTAGGTCAAATGTCAGTCCACTAATGTCTCTGTCTCTCGTCTCCTGTACCTTGGACGCTCTGTGTCAGTTTGAGAACCTTCTTTTCTTCTAACCTTTTAGCAGCTCCGTTCATTATATCCACCACTGGAGTCACACCAACATGAGCTTTCTGGCAGCGGCAGATCCACTCACTCGGTGACTGATTCATTTCCTACTTGGACGCCGTCCTAATTACTAGTCACACTCACGCAGGTGTAGTAAGAAACTACTTCCACAGCTACACCTTCCTCCACCGTCTCTGTGTTCAACGCTGTTGTTCAAGCATTTGTCTTTGTTAAAGCTAACTGCTTTTCTCTAATGGGTATTTATTGGTCAGTGCCAGTTCTAACCCCCCCTGGTGTCATTCTGCAGACACTGCAGCCTCTTCCATGCATCTAAGTGTCACATCCACCCTCTGTGAAAATGGCCTGTCAGACCCTCACAGAGAATAATACAACTTTTCCAGTAGAACATGAACACGTCTGTGTAGGTTCTCAGTCATCCAGCTCTGTCAGATGAGAGGTGGACAATCTAACCGTCTAGCCATTGGAAATAAGAGGTAATTTTCTCCATCTGTCTCTGACAGGAATATTACAGCGGTCAGAGAGACGATGGGAGACAGTTAGAGGCTGTTAAAGTCTGTAAAGACTGACAGACCAATCTACTGACGATGCTGTTCGACAGCTGAACTCAGACAGTCACGGCTTCACTGGTGTCGCTCTCTACTGTAGAGCTTGTTTGTTCCTCATAGTAATGTACTGAGGTAATTTGGTGTGAAATTAAACTGGTCAGTTCTAAATCACACTGTTGTTTTTGACCAAAATCTCCTGAATCTTTCTGAATGTGTTTTTTAAATTTAGAAACGTCTGTTTTTGTTTTCATTACAGCAGAATGGTAATGTTTTTAAGAAGAGAAAATACTGAAACCTTCAAAAATAACGTCAGTGAAGAATCATTATTCTCAGCCGAAGCTGTTTCTGAATTACTTTTCTCCTCAGTCACACTGATGTGTTTTATTTTATCATTATATTATTGTAGTGGATTTAGACTCGGTGAGAGGGAGGAAGAAAACAGCTGTGGATTATTCCGTTGCACTGCTAACATTTTTCCTCGTTATTAACTTACTAATGAAGTGATTTGCACTCCATGTCTTCCTTTTATATTGTGAGAGAACCCTTTATTTATTTTGCAGTTCTGCGGGTTAAACACTTTCATCAGTAAATACACGGCAGTCATTAAGATTTCAATGTTACTCACAAGTGGGAAAGTGACGACAAGTCTTTGAAAGCGCCCTCTGGGATCAGAGATATGTCGTTACCATGTAGAGATCTGAGGGAAAAACACAAGAGAGAACAAAGGAGACGCAACATCAGAAAAATGTTTTTTTTCCTCTTTAGTTTCTTGCCCTGAGTGTTTGTGTGTGTGTGTGTGTGGACAGAAACGTACAGCAGTCGGAGGGACTTGAGTCCATCGAAGGCCCTCACTGGTATGCATCTGAGGCGGTTGTAGCTCAGGATTCTTTACATAAAAAATAAACAAGTTGTCATGGCGATCAATGTAGAAAAAGGTTGAATGTATTTAGACACGGCAAGAGAAATGAAAACACAATCCTGTTTCTAGTTTCACTGTAGTAGCTACAGTAGTTCAACACAAAGATGAATAATAAAAAATATATTTTTAAACCCATTGTTTTTCCATTTGTGTGGATTTTTAACCTTTTCTTAATTAAAAAAAATAAAAACTCTACATGCTTCAAAGTGTCTTTTCTTAACATTTCACACAATCGATTACAAACGTAACAATGCAAAGGCACTGATGTAAAGCCAGACTCACAGGGTAAGCAGTTCGGACATGTTATTGAGGCTGTGGTTGGACAACGTGCTGATCTGGTTGTTACTCAAGTCACTGAAAAGGAAGCAACAGTTTAAACATAAAACACGAAACATGCATGAAGGAGAGCCGACGGACACGTGTGCAGACGGTCTGTGTACGGTGCAGAACACCATCCTGTACTCCGGTCCGTCTTTCTCACACGGCCAAGTCTGAACCGGCAGTTATTATAACACATCAGTTAGTCTCAGTCTTTTGAAAAGCCAAAAAAACTAGCAGGAAATACAGGCCAGGTTGACATGTGGACACCAGTGTGCAACTGAAACACAGAACTACAGACCTGTGTGTCTGTGAGTGTGATATTGACCTGTTAGGGTCAGGGTGATAAAACTTACATAAGTGTTAAATGTTTGTAGTTGGAGAGCTCCGTGGGAACCTGAGTGAAATGGTTACCATCCAGGTACCTTAGAGAGAGAGAGAGAAAAGAGAGGAGGAGGAGGAGGAGGAGAAAGAACGAGCATTGGAAACAAGAGAGATGGAGAAAGAAGGGGCGGAGAAAAAAAATAAAGTTATTTAAGCACTTGGGAAATTCCTCATCTCCTGCAGCGTGAGCGGTCATTACTGCCGGAGCCATAATAAACACGGGTGTACACACTGGAGGACGGAGAGACTCAGTGTTGTGTGTGCGTGTGTGTGTGTACAGTAGAACGTAGACTTGTGAGTCTGAGCCTCAGCAAAAATCAGTGAACATGAACCCGTTGACAACACAATGTCCACGCAGACCATGAACTGCTCTCAACAAACGGACTGAGCCTCGTTACGGTCCCTTAGTGAAACCATCGATAAGAGTGTCGAGGTCTACGGGGGTGTGGGAGGGGAGTGTGGGGGGGCTATTTGTCACTTCATTTACTATGTCAGCAAACCTGTTCCTGTAAAGTTTCCATCTCTGTTGCTCGTTTACGTCCCCATGAGGACATTTTTTAAAACAAAAGTTGACATATTAGATAAGAACGACTCCAGGGAGGAGGGCGTGCTGGACGAATGACCACCATGTTTACTGAGAGCTGGACTGACTGGACTGTGTGTCGTGTGTGTGGGCATAATGACCACAAACACAGAGTGACAGTCTTAGGTTTTGTTTTTTTTAATCTTGTATTTATATAAGCCTGTAGCTAAAATATACATCCTCAAGTCACATTAAGTTGTTAGTGTTTACTTAAAAAAAAAAAGAAGAGAGCTGGTGTTAACGTACAGTTCAGTGGTCTCTTTGGGGAGACCTTTGGGCAACGTGGTGAGACCCTTGTTGCTGCAGCGGACCACTGTGTCCAGACAGGAGCACTCCGCTGGACACCTCAGCACCGGAGAGCAGCTGTTCTCATTGTTACCTGCATCGGAGAAAGACGGTTGTTGGAATGTTGAATTCACTGCTGTGGTGTAACGTGTCGTCCACGTCTGCACTTATGACCTCACCGTCTTCACAGGCAAAGTCCTGGACAGCTACATCCTGGATGGGGATCTCCTTCAGGAAGTAAGGATTCTGACAGCGAGGGTTACCGGTGACGATACGTTTCCTCCTCAGCCAATCCCCGAGCCAGGCCAGGTGACAGTTACAGTTGAAGGGATTGGCCAGAAGGTTTCTGGGAACAGACAAACTCTCAGTTACATTTTGTGAATTTGTGAAAAAAAAAAGAGTTGAAACAACTATAAGAATCACTTAGTCACAGTAGGGGGCAGCAACAGGTCAAATTAAATATACTTTTTTTTTAACATTTATTTTTGCAACAGTTTCACATTTGTGGCACAAATAATATGTTTTTAGGAATTCAGATGTTTTGAATAGGTTTTACTTCAGTTGATCACGGCCTGGTTCACCAAAATTATATCACCAATCAAATCAGCTAACAACCTGGTTGTTGTTCTTAACGCTACAGTCTTTACAGTTGTTCCTGTTTCCTGACTCAACATTGACCCTCAACCAAATGTTGAGGTTCCAAGCAGCAGTGTTATTCCTCTGTCATCAATACAACATCTGGGCCATGAAACTGCCAGAACCTCTGGACTTCAAATAGATATTGTGATACAGAAAAAACACGAGAAGAATCAAAACCAGACGCTGACATTTAAAAAAAAAATACTGGTGCATTTTTGTTCGTTTTATTATTATTATTTTTTAATCATTTGACATCGTCGCTACTCACAGCGTGGACAGAGAGTGCAGTGTGTCGAAGGCTCCCGGGCTCATGGAGGTGATCTGGTTGTCGTAGAGTGACAGGAGACGCACGGAGCTCAGGCCCACGAAGCTGCTGTTGCTCACACAGCTGATGTGGTTACTCCTCAGCATGCTGCTCATCAGGACAACGGTACAGTCATATTTAACATCAATGTGATAATTACATTACGTTTCTCATCAGGCGCACGTGTGTGTGTGTGCATGTGTGTGTGTACCCACAGTGTGCGGAGGCCGCTCAGTCCCTTCAGCATGCCGTGGTGCACGTTCTCCAGTCTGTTGGAGGTCAAAATTAACTCGTTGACTCCAGAGGCTCCTTCGAATGTTCCCTCCTCTATGTCTGTGATGCGGTTGTTACTCAGGTTACTGCAAAGGAAACGACAGGAAGAGATGCATTATGGGCAATTTACTCAATAAAAATATAAAATATTTTGCATCATTATTTATTATTATTTTCGTTATGATCAATATGATTAATATAGTTCAATTTATTTTATTATTTATTTTAATAATAATAACAATAATAATAATTATTATTATTATTAGAAGTTCTAACCACTGTTGGTCATTAAATTCTAAAAAATATTGGGCTAAAAAAACAAAATGCTGCAATGTCTGGAAATCACAATATGTTAATCAACCAGTGATGAAAATATTCCTTTGTTTTGACTAGTCAACCTTTGCCAGCTGATCTTTAACTACAGAGAATTTCCATCCTAAATCGTTGTTTTTTTCCCAGTGAATTGATCTTCTTGTAAGGAAAGACTCACATCTTCCTCAGTTGAGGCAGTTTTTTGAAAATCCCCGTGGCCTCCAGGACAGTGAAGTCATTGTTGTTTAGACGTCTGACGACAAAGAAGAGAAGGAAGAGACGTGGTCAAAGTCACAAAGTGAGAGAACAATTGGAGAAAATGCGAAAGAAGAGGAGTTGATAAAGGTCAATGCGTGAATTTGCTTTGTGCCAGATAAATCCACTGTGACTCACAGTTCTGCAGTGTACTGAGGAATGTGATCTGGTATTTTGGTGAGTTTCTGGTTGGAGCAGTCGACTGTTGTGCCCTCGCAGCGACACTTCTCGGGGCAGGCCAGGTCTGCAAAACAGTCTCCCCCCAGCTTGCTGCGGTAATCCTCAGTACCTGGTCACAATCACAATCACATCACATCACTGGATGCCCTCACCGAGCGAGATCCAATCTCACTGTTTACTGCTACAGGCTCCAACATAAACTCCGCAGATGGCCAAAGTTGGAGCCGTGATAAACTGGTGGAAATTCCGAGACATTGCAATGGAGGGACGGGGGCGGTGGGGGGGCTGCACGGCTCTAGGGTGAAGTGGAAATTGTTCGACCAGCGATGTTTTCAAAAACATCCCTGATTATGATCATATGCCACATTAATCATGAGCATTCAGAGCCAAATCCCGTAGACGTACACTGTGTCTAGACCAAGACATATATTTGGGAGACGTACGCAAGAACAAACACCACAGAGTTTCTGCTCCATCAGGCTGCAAAGAAACTGTTAGTGTTAGAAACCACAGCACAAACAGCACAGCTTAAAACACGTGATGGCAGCAGAGAAGAGCTCACGAACTCAATCAGTCTGAGTTTTCTCTCGTTCACACGCAGAGAGACACGGAGACACAAACACACAGAGGTTGCAGGACACGACAGGAGGCGGCTGTCTCTTGCGTCTCTTGGCCATGCTGTAGGGCTTTGCAGGGCCGTTCCATGGTGCTTGACAGAACCATGTTCCACTTTTGGAACCTGGCAGCCACATGGTTAGATCAAGCACAAAGGAACAACCTGCTGAGTGACTGCTCCTCCGCTGGAACACAGGGGTGGGAAAGACAGAGGAGAGGAGAGGAGAGGAGAGGAGAGGAGGAGGAAACAAGGATGAGGAGATGAGTGGGTTATAATGGAGGAGGAGGTGGAGGAAAGGAGAGAGAGCGGGTGATGTCAGGGGAGAGAGGAAAGGAAAGGACAGGAGGAAAGAAGAGGGTAAGAAGACAGGGGTGACGGGATGGGAGAGAAGGGAGACTGGCGGGAGGGAAAAAGCAGAAACTGAAGCAACTAGAGCTTCTGAAGTCACAGACACATCACAGGGGAGCAGTGGGAGGAGAGTTACAGCAGCACTGAAGGCAAGAGAAGCCCTGACTTCTAGGAACATAAACACACACACACACACACGCTGACAGAAGTACCAATAACCAAGTCTGATCATCGTATTCACCAGTGTTGGTCGTTAACACACACGAGGAGTCAGAGAGGGTAACAAGTCACTGTGGACGAGGTTTAAAGGTCAGACGTCAGCTGAGGGGGGAGAGGAGCGGGTCTGGGTGTGTGTGTTACTTACAGCCGACATGATGGTGTACTCCTGAGTGTGTGAGAGAGGCAGTAGGAAAAAGAAGAAGGGATTTCACTTGTTTATTAAAACAGGAGAGAAAATCAGAAAAATAAAATAAAATCCCAGGAAGTGAAGATGGGTGAAAAAAAAAGAGCTGCAAACTGTGGCCACCAGGCCTGGGTCGACCGGGTTTTTTTTAGATTGCCTAACAATGAGGTTGAGCAGGGTTGAAAATGCCAAACAATGCCAAAATAAACAGAGTGGTTTCAGATGTATTGATCTAAGGCTTGGTCTTTAGGTGGCGCCGCAGAATAAACCATGTCTGTTCAACTTCTTCAATTATTCAGCTCCGGCCCTTATGGGCGATCTGGGCTTTGAAACCTCCGTCCCTGAAGAGTATCTGAGTTAATGACCATGCACTGACACACACACACACACACACACACATGCCCTCACACATCTCACACCATGCCTCGTGTTTGTGCTGAAGTGATAATGACCGCCTTTAGGGCTGCTACTGATCTCATTTGCGGGTCTGATTTACATATTTCACTGCGCCCCTCTGAGCGAGGCAACTGTGTGACATTTTGATGTTTTGTAGCTGGCAGAAGGGAAACTGGCGCCCCCTGGACACACCCTCGTGCATTTAGACACAGCAAACATTTAGGTTTTGTGATTCACGTAAAATGAAATTTGAGAATTGCATAACGTGCCCCCAGTTTTGAGTAAGAGAGCTTTGGAGTCGGGACGGAACTTTAGGAACTGTATGACCAACGGAAAAATAAATAAATAAATATATATAAATTCAACAAATACAGATAGTAGATAATAAAAAGTTTATTTTGACAGTGTGCATCTAAAGGTTTTTGGATTAATGTTTTTTTTTTTTTAATATATATATATTTACATCTAATATAGTATTGTTTTACAAGACTAACTTTGAAAAGAGGTTACGTTATTTTGAGCAATATTATTTTCTGAGCCCTGTATTGGCTGAAACTTCATCTCCAATGATAAAGTTTCAGTTTTGCCTAAACCAATCAGCACATCACTATTACTTTGTATTCGTTTATATTGGCAAAACATTTATAAAATAAAGGATCAAAACAAGCTTTGATACCAGGGGTTACAGCCAGTTTGAAGTAACAGTGAGCCACACGTGTCATCATCATCATAGTCATCATTCTTAGCATCACTGTCGTTGACTTCAAAACTCTCAGATAAAAGATTCCCTTTGAGACGCTGCATTAGAATTTAGTACGACGCGAGTGTGAAATAACGTGGCCTTCAAACGACGAGCGCAACAGTAACGAAAGCGTCCAGGTCTGGAGGCAGTTTCCAGAACTCTGCTCTGTTGTTGTGTTCGTGTTCCAAACCAAAGTGCAGGACAGGGGCTGGAGTGGGATCGTCTTATTAACGGGCTGCAGACTGATGTGTCAGTGAGATCATTAGGAGGTGAACATCAAGGCAAGCCACTTCAAGTGTCCTACAGTGTGCATGTGTGCAGCATCTGTGCACGGAGAGTGAACACCCACACACACACACACACACATGCTCTGTGTAAAATACCTTCAATGAAATACTGCTCTCTAGCTAAAGAAGAAGAGACACAGAGAGAGAAGTGAAAACCAACACAAGAACAAAGGTAATGCTGAAAGTGTGTGTGCTGTGTGTGCTGTGTGTGTGCTGTGTGTGTGCTGTGTGTGTGTGTGTGTGTGTGTGTGACAATAACTAGAAGAGCCAGAGAATTTGAGGTTTGGAACAGAGACCAAGGGAAAGTCCCAGCAGGAAGACACAGAATAAAGAGTCTTAAATCTGAGTCTGTGTGGAACCAGCTGTGAGAGAGAGGTCACTTTGTTGTTTTTGTGTTTGTACCTGAGCAGCGGAATTTCTTGCTCTTGATTTGTCCGATCCTCTTGTTGGCGAGCCGCCGCGGACTTGTGCAGCGTGCACCGCTGGTCTCGATGGGATTGTCCTGCAGGTAGTCAGCCAGCCACTTCAGATGGCAGTCGCATATGAATGGGTTCTGGGCTAAGTGGCTGTTCCGTCCACACACACACACACACACATTCATATGACACACACACACAGCAGCGGACAACGACAACACAAACATGAACAACAGACTTTAGAAAACAATATTGTCTCAGTGATACAGTAAATAAAAACATTACTGCTGCTTGATTTTTTTTTTTACAAACAAGGTCTAAGAATTAGTGACATCTGTTGGTCAGACTGTTTACTGCAACAAACTGAGGACTCCAGTCAACTCGACTTCACTTAGAGGAGTCGAAACTACGGTGGACTGTTGTTAACTAGAGAGGAATCGATCACAACTGATGAACTGATTCTCCACTTTTTACTAAATTCATTTTAGTGTCACTCCTGACACTTTTCTCCACCTAACAACCACAACAGACCAATACCAATAAGATGCATATAAAGATCAGTGCATGTTGGCAACACTCAGACTGACGGTGCTGGTAGAGTGGGAACCTTACAGCGTTACTGCTGCTTCATAGCAGCTGAAAGCTGATAGTGGCTGTTGTTGAATTCTCTGTGTGACAACCACAGCCATGTGTATGTTGTTGTAACCAAGGTGATGAAGGAAGAAAAGGAAATACTTAGTTTCGCTGAAATATTTCAGATGAAACTGAACCAAGTGTGTTGTTTCCACCCCAGACCAAAGAGTAAATGTTCAAAGGATTCTGTTTATTATTCTGGGAAAGACAATCTGCAGTCATTCAGTTATAATGATGTTGTTTTACGCAGAGCCTGTGTGTGGGTGTGTGTGTGTGTGTACATACAGTGTTTGAATGGCTCTCAGTGATGAGAACGTTCCCTTGGCGATCGTCTGCAGCTTGTTGTCATAAAGTGAGAGCAGATTGAGGTTGTGAAGGTCCTGAAATGCATCCACACGTAGACACGCTATCTTATTAGCATTCAGTAACCTGGAGAGAGAGAGAGAGAGAGAGAGAGAGAGAGAGAGAGAGAGGGAGAGAGAGAGAGAATGAGCAGGTAAGGCAGAGGGAATGAAGAGACACTGTTGTCAGATAAAATGTTACAGGTCAGTGATGATGGCTTTTAACCACAGCGTCACCGTGATGAGGGTGATTTCACTAAACACACTGAAATAGAATAGCAATGAGCTAAAGATATGAGCTCTCAGCAGCAACAAAACGTGTGTGTATGTGTGTGTGTGTGTGTGTGTGTGTGTGTATCCACTCACAATAGCTGCAGAGAAAACAGCCCCTCGAACAGTCCTTTGGAAATCTCAGTGATCTTGTTCCCGTACAACACCCTGTCGACAAAGAAAACTGCGTTAAAAATGGATGACATCACACGTATAAATAACAGTTCTCTAACATAAACACCAAGTCTTTAACAACAGATTTCTAGGCCTCGATGAAGGCAGCAGTAATTTAGATTTATACTGTATACTGGGAGAGCTGGTTTATCACAGAGAAAAACAAATGTGTCCAGATTTGTGGCAAAGTGGCGGCAAAGCCTCTATTAATCAGTTTGATCAGAGCCACATTAGACCGCGGTGCGTTCAGGAACACTAATTGAGCCTAATTGAGTTCCACTGCTGCATACAGAACTGTGATCAAATATCAAACCTGAGCTATTTATTTGCTGGGACCACTGGCCTAATGATGGGTGAAATGGTGGTGGAATGAAACCTGACTGCTCCTAAATTAGACTAACAAGAACTCCAAGAGGGTTTCAAATACTGACAACTTCACATGAATGCATAATATCTCTCTTCAGTAAAAAAAAGAAATGATTAAAAATCTGAAGAAATTGTTGCTTATCAAAATATGGATACATTTAAAGATAAGAAAACGCCTTCTCTCTGCCTTCAGTTTGAACCCATACAGTGAATGTAACGGCATTGAACCATTTCAATCACTCACTCCTGAATCGACTTAATGCCAACGACCGGCTATTAAATAACACCTTACAACAGGACTAGTTGTTAGCACTTTTCACCTCAATACCAACTCTGACAGCAGCAGCAGCAGCAGCAGCAGCAGCAGCAGCAGCAGCAGCAGCCGGGAGGAATGGTCCGCGCTTTTGGAGC